TTAAGGTGTAAAAAGGGACTTTCAAAAAAAGGATTTGGGGCTGCGGGCTAGCTTAGTTATGTGGGTTGTGATGTGTGGGTTTTGTCAAGATGATAATTTAAAGTGAAGTAAAACGGTACTTGTGTGTTCCAGCAGATTATAGATGGCATATAACTTAATTATGTCAAAACTGTATTATGATTCCTCCCCCTGACCTGAATCCTCCACACAGGAATAAACATTCATACACAATTATTTTTGCACAGTTTTCTGGCAAGGCTTAAAGAGCTGGCGTTGCGCCTACACGTCATGCTCAAGAAATATGTGCGGAGGGAATCCATGTGGATGAGGGTAAAGGCTACAGAGTCTGTGGTACATTTATTTGTTCTTATTTGTGATTTTCAAATCAGTTTTGTAGAAGAAATTTCTCCTGAGATCCTTTGTGTCTGCTAGTGATGGTAATGCATCTTGTCCTCGGTTTGGAGTGATGCTGACCAGTGGAAGAGGGAGGGAAGAGGCTGACTGGTCAAGTAGATGTGACCAAAGGGACCTGCAAGGCCCTGCAGACAGAGGCTATCTGTGGTGGATGTTATTTTACTGTATAGTACATACTGGCTCAGATTTACCTTACTGCCACTTGATTTTTTTATTTTTCTCAGCTGTTGCTGTGACTATGTTGTACTGCGCATTGCTAATGAGCAGTGCCTAATTTGTACATGGTGTCCCTGTAAGTCCCTTTTCCCAGATCTGTTTGTAGCAGTGTTTGGGATTTAACACATTTTTTACTCAATCCCGTGTCAGACCACAGGAGAGCTGGTTTTCTCTTTCCTTGGACCATGGATAGTAGAAGAACAGTGCTTGCTGTTCCTAAAGGTTCTCCCATTCTCACAGAATTGAATAAATGCTTTCCCAGGCCTACATAGGTGTTGAAAACTTGTAATTCAAGGTTTCTAAGATTTGCAGGAGGTCTGTAAAGACTTGTACGTTATATATAAGGTTCCAGTTACTGCTTACGCAAAAATGTTAAATTGATGTTCACTACTTAAATACTAAGCATGGCATTTAGGAGGCCCTTTATGTGCTTAACCTGGCTCTTGGAAAAAAATCTTGCAAAAAATTTCAAGGGGGGCATATGTGTTGCTCCTTTGTTGACGGGTCAGGTTGGTCAGTGCTGTTGTACACACTGCCAGGTGTCATGGATGTGTAGTTACCAAAGCTATAAAGGAACAAGAACTTGTATTTTCTGTTTTATTCATGCTTTTGCCATGTATAACTTTGCAGGTAAAATGAGAAATCTCTGCCTTCTGCTGGTACTGCTAAGACAGGGGACACGTATCATGCAGGTCTAAAATACAATTAAGTTTTCTGTTTTAAGCAAATTTACATTCTTTTTGTGTATCCTTTAGTGTGCTTAAGGGTAATGAAGTTTGTGAGACATTTTTTGGCATGACAATTTGGAGGGACCCATATTCAGACTTAAAAATGGATGATGTGAATATGTGCTTCACTTTGATGTATTTAATTGATATAAACCTGCTCAAGTAGCAAAGCCACCACAGGAAAAGAAAAAAACAAAAGAAGAGGAAAGAAAATTAAGTGTGAGAAATTGCTTTTCAAAAATTGTTTTGATCGGTTCTAGGATATACTATCTGGGTATATACTTCTAGATTAGCTCAAATCAGGACAGTTATGAGTGATATAGAGGACAATGTGGAAGTTCTGTCAGAAATTATTGCAGATGTGCAAAAATGAATCAACCAGTTTGTACAGGTAGTGTAGCTTTGATTACTTGGTAAGTTTGAGTTCATCTGAACCATTTCTATTTTAATGTTGTTTGGTGCAAATTGAATTATCTACAACTGTGGATTGATAAGCAGAGTTTGAAATTCTGCTTTTGGTACTAATTGCTTTTGGTTGCCTTTGGGAGAGGAGCACAGTATCCTTTTGAGATTTGAAGTTCCTCCACGGTAGTGCATATCCTGTCAAAATTTCTCCATGTAAGGAGAATTCATTTGGAGGAAGTTAGTAAAAGTCACTTTGCTCCTTTGGAGATGGAGGCTTTGCTTGGTTCCTGCTGGTAAGCGTGTAGCAGCTTGTGGGGAGGAAATCCCAAAGTAGTGTATTTTTCATCTTGCTGATAAGGAGTGATTTTTGTTTGTTTTTAATCATATTTTTTTTAGAAAAATACCCAGACTGCAACGTTGTTACTGTTACTCAAAGGATGCTTTTTTCCCCTTGCATTGTGGTGAAACAGTGTCTTAGTAGCATAAATCTACTTATTTTCCATTTATTGAAGTTTGCTGGAGGGTGTGTGAATACATGTGAGACTTTCCTTTTGTGCCTTTCTAGTTTTATTTAGTTTATGCAGTGGTATCTGAGTATCATCTTTCCTGGTACTCAGAAATGAGAAAAATCACTCTTAATTCTGTCTTGGTATTTTGGTGATTGTGGAATCAGACTAAAATAGATTAAAATGAGAAGTATTTATAACTTAAAATATCATTTTGATAGTGCTTAGTATGACAAAAGCACAGCAGTTTAGGTGTGAAAAATCTCTAAAATCTCAGAAGCAGATTAGGGTTTGGAGAAAACCAGTGATCCACCTAACTTTCTCCAGTTGAGCTTTAAATGCTCCTCCTGATTTCTGCTAGCTTATCTTTCATAATTTGGAAGAGGGAAGTGATGCTCAGTGTTAGTGCTACTACTCCATGCTTCCACGCTTTCTTTCCTGCACTGTAGCACATTAGCCACATTCTGTGCTGCTCTGCTTTTCATCAGCCTCTTGTTTATTTGTGAAGGACGTCACTGCCAGGCTTTCATGCTGACTAGTCCTGTTTATCCATGGAGCAGAAACAGGCTGGCAGCATGATCTTTACAACTGCCCTGACTGATGCTTGGGTGGAGTGGCTCCTTTTGGATATCAAGAGCTGAGGTAAATGTTTTGAAGGATCTCTGTTAAGACAGGAAATAATCATGGGAAATGGTAGGCTCATTAATCTCTCCTGCAGACCTGCTGCAGTCACAGGATGATAAGATTTCAGGTAAAGTAGACATGCATACTTTGAACACCCTTCAAGAATGCCTTGTTTCCATCAAGAAGGGTACTTTTGCTTTAAGAAGGCCGAATGATCACTGCAGCATGCTGTGGGATTTCAAGTATGCATTTGAGACCAAAACATTTAAACTATTGAAAGAATTGATAACTTCTAAAAATCATCTTTGAGTCAAGAGCAGCAGGGAAAAGGCTGGGGTTTAATCATCACTTTAAACTTCTCTTCCTGTATTTCTAATAGCTGTATGTGTTTTGATTTGAGGGAGAATGTTGTTTTGTCCTTAAGGTCTTTTCCTTTCCTTTTCTTTCATTAATACTGGTACCTCTGTTTAGGGAACTGAAACACTAAATTAAATGCTCTGTTGACTTCCCTGTGGAGATAACATGCCAGGAAAACAGATGGCTTTATTTTTTTTTTTAGTGATGTGATTTTATCATTTGCTTCAATGAGTATCATCTCTTCAGTTCACTATTATATTGCAGCTCAGATGCAAATGATACTCATCCATTAAAATACTAAGAGTATTTGTATCAGGAAGCATCCTTACCCACATAAATCCATGAAACAAATCAAGTGAGATTAAAAATATGGGCAAAGATAATGGGAGAATATCTGGACTCAATTGTGTGTATAACTTCAGGGAGCTCCATGTACCTTGAGTTGTCCTTCAGTATGTAAATGACAAAACTTAGAGATGCATGCACTACTTAGATGTGGCTTTGAGAGGGAAATATAAGGGTAAAAACAATTGTAAAAGGAGAAGTTGCCATAATGTATTAGAAACTTGTTTAAATTAGGGATTTTAAATAATTTCTGAGAACTTTTCTCTTTGCTGTGTGTGCATTCACAAACCCAACTATGTAGTTGTTTAACAGCAACTCTTGTGAAAATGGAATGCTGATTTTATCTACATGATTTTGCTAGCATTCCATATTTTGCAAACACAATGGAATAGATCTTTACTATTTATCTCTGAGCAATCAGATAATCCAGAGCCAAGTAAAAGCCAAGTACTTTGCTTCTGAGCAATAGCTGTGGCCCAAAAAAGGCCCAAAGTGTTATCATAGAGCCAAGAGGAAAATAAAACTAGTATATAAATGAGAATCAGCTGCATCCTGCAGATATTAAACATGATTTTCACACAATAGGGTTTTATAGCTTTTTTATCTGCTGCTCTTTTTTTATTTTGGTAATTAGCTGAAGAGGATGAAATGTAGAATGCACAAACAATTACACTGGCTATTGCCAAGTCTTATTCAGCTGACTGCCGTCTTCACATTATGTTACTTTTTAACAGTACTGTGCAGTCCTGACATGGCACTGTAAGATTTCTTTTTTTCTTAGTCATCTGACTATTTTAAATGAACTTTGGTCAGTTGTCTGGAGGGAGGGGCTATTGTATGATACGCTGTTCACATCAGGCACAAGAACTTTGGGTTTACAAATAAGATGTGTGGGCTGGGGGGAAGAGAGCCCAGTCCCTCGTGACTCCAGGCAGTCAATGCTATGTTCAGTAAGGTGTATAGACCACCAGCTCCATGTGTTATCATGTGCCATGGCTGTAGGTAACTTCCTTAATGCCATCTGATAAACATACTTCCTGTAGTAGAGCTCTTGGGCTGTGTCTTCCAACAAACTACAAAAAGAGAGCTGGAGGGGTCAGGTTTTGCTACGCTTTTGAATAAGGATTTTTTTTTCCTTGACTTTTTTGTGTAAATCCTTGAATTATCACTGCAGAACATTTCAAAATCATCATTCTGTTTCAAATACAAACTTGCCAGTATCTGTACTGATGAGCATAGTTGATTCATGAATGGCAGATGCTTTGATCAGACAGATCACAGAAGCAGTGGTACAACAATATTTTCATGTCATAGAATACTGCCTCTGGTTTGCTTTTCACAAAAGCAATGGTACAATGATGTTTTCCTTTTGTAAAACACTGTCTCTGATTTGCTTTATTCTTAGATTCAAAAGGAAAAGAAACTGCAGCAATGAAAGCTGACCTACTGAGGGCTCGCAATGTGAAGAGATATATTAATCAGCTGACAGTGGCAAAGAAGCAATGTGAGAAGAGAATAAGGCTCCTGGGAGGGCCTGCTTATGATCAGCAGGAAGATGGCATTTCTGATGAAGGTGATGGCCCTCCAAGTCAGAAGGTATAAATTACGTTGTCTGAAGGTCTTTCTAAACGTGTTACCACTGAATTGTGTTACCTCACTGTTGTTAATCCCTCCCTTCCCCCAGGAGTCAAGTACAAATTAATTGCTGTGTGGTTTATTTACCTTGGGAAAAGATTACTGAAGTACCCGAAAACACACATTGATCGCTCAGCTTGGAATATTGTGCAATATGAAACTCCATAAAGGATTGAGTGGCTTGTAAGCACGTGTGATTTTTCAGGCATACCACCTGTAGGGAGTTAATAAGGACATGGTAGCAGCTTTTGGGAAAGTTAGCAACTTGCTTTCAAATAAGACTGCCAACATATGTGCTCTATGTCTCTGGCCATCATGATACTTACTTTAGGAAATATGTATGGGTTTTGAAAATACTGAATTATTCAAAAGTAAACAATTACAGAAGGCAATTGACAAAACTCAGGGCAGTTGTTGCAGAAAAACATTGGTAAAGCTGCTGTGACTGAATGCTGGTTTTCAATACCACTGTAGTCTGGAATTGGAAGTAACTATTGTGTTGGCCAGCATCTATAAAAATAAAAAGACTACTTAGCTTTGAAAATATTAAAAAATTTTAATGGCTTCTTTTGTAATCTACTCTGTTCTCTTTAGGCAAAGCATAGTAGCTGATGTATTCAAATGTGAAAAGATTGTGTTTCTCATGTAGGTAGGAGATAGCTTTTCATTCAGGGATCTTTAATGTTCATTATAATAATTGTAACTTAGTGGCATGTTAGAAAAAGTAGAATAATGGAGAAATAGTTCCTACTTTATATTTTGTTTTTCATGAGTAAGGTCTGAAACATGATGATTCCCTACTCCTCTCTTGTCCTTAAAGCATGATTTCAGATGGTGCATCATACATTGTGCCAAGGCAGTCCTGATCTCTTTCCTGAAGCTGGGTGTAGCAAGTGGTGCCAAGAGAAAAAAGAGAGACAGGAGCATGTGGCAGCACTGCGTGAGCCAATGATGCCACTTTTGATGCCTGCTGAGATGTCAGGAACTTTTCTGGGTATAAGGATACATGGGGACATAAGATTGTTCAAGAATGGAGTCCAGTAGTGAAGATGGATTTGATAGGAGCAGGGATTGGTCAGGAATATAATAAAATACAGTATTATAATTAAAATCAAAGGAATTCCTGAAGCTGATGCTGCATGTTTCATAAACCAGTGGAGTTTTTTAGTGGGAGTTGCTGACCTGGGGTTATATCCTGCAAATATTCCAGCGAGCAGCTCAATATTGAGTTAATGGTACTATTAATAGCAATAATGACTTCTTGTGCAGGCATTTGTTGTGGTGATGGTGTAAACAGTGGGATCTGAGGTAGTTTTTCTTCCAAGCTTTTGAAGCCCCAGAACTCCTCTAAAGTCATGTCAGTGTGGAAAATAGGAAAACTTTTTCTCCCTTTCCTTATCCCTCATTCTCTGTTGCCAGGAAAGAAGCCGTGGGAGGCTGCTTGAGAGATGGAGCCTATGCTGTCCTCTTCTGAGCACAGAAAAATGCCCAAGGCTTAGCTGAGGAAGCAGTCCTTCTGCACTGTTGCTTCTCCCCATCCTCTTCCAGCACTGTGGTAGCTGCAGTCTGGGTTCTTATTTCAAGGCAGCTGGTGTTATTTTGTATGTTGGCCCCTCCTATTTGGGCAGTACTGACTGAACACTCAGGCTCTTTTCTAAGCAAAAGGGAAAGGCATTGTTTGGGATTTAGCAGATCACATACATTAGTAGGTTGCAGCTGATGGCCCTTGGACTCCTTAGAGTATGTTGTGCCAGCTTTTCTGTTAAGTTAGCATCTCAAGTGAAGAACTAGCTTTTGAAGAAGAAATCGTATGTTTGCCTTCCTTTCTTCAACTTGCATGAAATAAGTCAGAAATGGGCATTTTTTGATGGTATTTTAAATTAATATTTTATCTAAGTGTAATGCAGAAGCGTGAATACATTATTAACTTTGGGGAATTTTTGGTACTAGTTGAACAGAGCTGACTAGTGATTTACACTTGTATTTTGGTTTCACTTATGCATCCTATAAAAAGCTTTTTCTTGACTGCCATAGTAGGGGAGTAATGACATTGCTGGTAAAGAGTCTTTTATGCATGTTCTGATTATGGGCTTATATATGGAGATGAAATATTTGGAGCTGTCAGTGTTCTGTTTGATTATGCAGTCTTGTGATTTTTAATCATTTGATTTTGTACATATTTCACCCATCTAATTTACCTGAATCCAGGTTCTGTAGGGAAATCCTAAATATGTGAAGCATAACCAAATATGCTTATAAGCAAACAGACAAACAAACCACAGCTACTCTCTGAATCTGCAGTTCTCTTATTGATGTCATTACCTCTGATCCTGATTTAATCTCTGCCCATGGAGAAAATGCAATTTGAGTAAGTGTAATATATAAAGCACCTCTTTATAGTCAGTGCTGTTTTAGTCCTTTTTCTTAGAAACTGTGCCTGCACAGTACTGCAGTAATTAATTGAGTTCTTGTTGTCCGTGTTTATTCAGTGAATGATTTTTTCCTCGGCTGTGCTGAGCACAACTGCCGCATCACCTTGTCTGTGAGATTTCACATATGGAGTCACAGCATCTTCTTAGTAGAGCTGTTTTGTGGATCGTGGGTTCTAGGAGGGGGTCTGGAGTCTGACCCTTAACTAGCTATCAAATAGCAAGGAAACCATCTGAGAGTATTTTGAGATGAAAAGAGCTCATGTTCATAATCCAGCTGAGGACTAAGATGAAACTCGTGCAGAAAATCTTGCTTCCACTGTATCTGTGGACATATGTTGATTTAACTGGTGATTTACCAGATTTTCATGGTAATTTCTGAGCTCCAAATTGTAAGATCATGTTGTGTCTGTATACATCATGGTACACAATTTGAGAATATTGAGAAAAGAAGCTTCAATTGTTGTCACCCAATTGCCTGGCGATGGGTTTTCTTATGACAGAAGTATGTTTGTCAACATGTAAGTCTCAAGGGAGGGACTTTTACATTAGTGTATGTGCAGTAAAATAGTCAGGTACCTCATGTGGTTAGTATATACTTCCTGATACTCAAATAATCATTGTGTTTAATTCACGTTGCTGTATGTGGCAGAGACTGTCTTCTGATGACTTGCCTCTTTTTAAAACATAACAAGATAAATACAGGCTTTAATTTTAGTCAATATATGGAAAAAAACATTAGTTAAGAGTTTTTTAAAATGCAACATGGAAAACGTTATTTATCAGTATTGCTTTTTACATTCCATTTGTTCCTGGCCTCTACAAATAAATAAAAAAAGGAAAAAATCCAAAGCATCAACCAGAAGTTCTGCAGTCTGACAGTATGCTGTTATCCCAGCAGAAAACTTCCTCTAGTGACCCAAATGCTGTTCATCCCAACCATCTGCAGTGCTGTTACTGGCTTTATTTGGGCTGTTCTTTATAGGCCAATGTGGTTGTAGTGAATAGGAATCTGGTGTGTTGCAAAGAAATACAGTTCAGTGCACCTAATATGTACCTGGTGCCTGTGCTGACCTAAATTACCTAGTTGTTCTATGTTCCTGTCCAGAGAGAGGTTATGACTGTCTTTAGGGATTTAACAAGACCAAGTCTCAGCTCTGTAGGGCCAGGGACAAATCTCTTCTGTGGGCACATACTAGGGATGCTGGTTAAAGCAGCCCACTAAAGAAAAAAAAAATAGAAAAACCTAACCCTTTTCTAGTCTTAGGCAGATCCTGTGACCAGCTGTGATATACAAGTTACATTACTGTTGAAGCAGGGAATTGATGTGGCGACACTAAAGCTTCTGGTTTTTCCAAACCCGGAAGCTGCTCTTGAGTTAACAGGATTTGAAGGGTTGCTGTGGAGGCTGATAATTCTAAGATTATATCTGCTAACTGGATATTAGATTTGCTGGTGTACACATGCCCTAATGCCTGTGTATGTGCCAACATAGCTTAGAGCTTTGTGCTCTAATCCATGGTGATACTGAATCATAAAATGATCTTTTGCTGAGGATTAAAAATTACTGCAGAACTTCTTCTTTAAATCATAAAAGGAAGGAAGATCTACAGAATAGTTGGGTGCCAAGAAAGGACTGTTGTGGTTTCACCCCAGCCAGCAACCAAGCCCCACACAGCCCCTTGCTTACTCCCCCACCAGCAGGATCAGGGAGAGAATCAGAAGGGTGAAAGCCAGAAAACTCCCATGGGCTGAGATAAAGGCAGTTTAACAGGGAAAGCCACACAAAAAGCAAGGCAGAACAAGGAATGAATTCCCTTCATTCCTTCCCATGGGCAGGCAGGTGTTCAGCCATCCCCAGGAGCACAGGGCCCCATCACAGTAACAGTGACTTGGGAGGACAAAGCCATCACTCCAAACCACTTTACATCCTGAGCATGATGTCACATGGTCTGGAATATCCCTTTGGTCAGTTGGGGTCACCGGTCCTGGCTGTGTCTCCTCCCAACCTTCCATGCACCCCCAGGCTGCTCTCCAGTGTGCCAGTACCAAAAGCAGAAAAGGCCTTGGCTCTGGGGAAGCCCTGACCAGCAATAATAAAAGCATCTCTATGTTATCAGCCTTGTGCTTAGCACAAATCTAAAACATAGCCCCTGCCAGCTTCTTAAGAAAGTTAACTCTACCCCCGATTTACTAAAATATGGATATGATCTAGTATCAGTATCTAACTATAATTGACAAAGGCTCTTTAACCAATTAGGATTACAGAGTGTGTGTTTATTGGCAGTGCTGGGCCGATGTGAAGGGTCACCCCTTAATACACATGGCCTCGAATGCAGGCGATTACAGACTTTTTATTTACCGAGACATTGAATACAAATACATATTCATAACTCAGATACTGCCCACTCTCTGCTTCTTATGCTAATTAAGATAAAGCAATTAAGCATGTGCAATTTGTTCCTTGAAATGAGTTGGTGGTCTCGTTATGTGGAGGGGTCATAGAAGGGAGGAAGGAATATATCTCCACCTCATTCTCACCTTTCTACCTTTTCAATACAAAGTGACAAATGAACCCCTGGCTGTGCTCCTAGTTTCATGTTTACAATTAGTTTCTGGTTTGCAATTGTCTTAAGTTCTTGAAGTTCTTTAGAAGATTCTTCATTTCTCATTACAAGCCCAGCTGAACAAACATAAGATTGACAGACAATTAGTTATTAGGTAATGATTAACTCCTAATTCTAGTAGGGCCTATTTTAATTAAACTTAGCAAGGATTAATTTTAATTAAGGCTTTAGCTTGTCTAATATCTTAAGTTCTTCAAAGTTTGTTTCACCCCAGCCAACACCAGCACACATGCATTTTATGATTTTTCACCTCCAAACTAAAATCTTCTTGTGTCTATTGTTGTTGGCATTGCAGCTGTAACATAATGTTTTTAGTATAGCACTGGTAACATATTAAGTGATTCCAGGATAGTCCAGACTTAAAGAAAAATCAAGAAAACATTTGAGAGGTATCATTTCTGCAAGAGAGTTAATTTTCCTTCTCATTAATTTATTTACGTGTTTTAGTTTGTGAGATGTTACATAAATCTCCTAATAGACACCTTTGCTAGGCACCACTGCTTTGATTGTCATAGGGCACTGGTGCAATGGGTCCCTTTTTTAGGTGGGAGAGATGCTTGCACTTGGCTTGCCCCTGCAGCAGCACTTATCCCCAGTTACTTCTGAGAGGGGTTTTTTATTAGTTACCCTCCTTGCTGGCAGCCGGAGTGGGTATAGCTTGGATAATAGAAGCATAGAGACCAAGGTGACCCCTCACTCAAGAAGTGACAGCACATGCCCCATATTGTAATTTACTAACTCTGCAATTATTCACAGACCTGACAGCCCTGGGGTGGGGATAACATCTATTCAAGGGTCTGGAAGATGCTCTCACTCTTGTATTTTAAATCACTGTCCTTGGTAAAATGATTAAATAGAAAATCTGATGATGCATAGTAATGAGGCTAAATCACAGACTGGCCTTTAAATTTCCATGTCTGTTCTTTTTGACAGCCTGATCACCATTTCTGTATTAAACTTAGCTTGAACAAAGTACTCTCTGCTTTTCAGTGAGGTTTATAGAGTGAGCTTGCAAAGGCAGATGCTCATATATCTAAGTAAAGGTAAGAGCAAAGTCATGTCCAGAAGATATTGGTATGGTAAAGGATAAAGAGAATAACGGCACATGATTGTCACAGGGGAACTTTAAAGATGTAAATGAGCACTTCATGTGAGACAAATATAATTTACTTAAACACTGCCTAAAATTTGGAGGAGCTGTTTCAGACAAAAAACAGTTGTTAAAGAATCATGTTTAGCTTGGTTTCTTAAGGCACTGATTTTGTGCCTGTAATTGTGTATGTGCCCATGTAAGTGGTTTCCTCACGTGTAGCTTGAGACAAGGAAACTCTTTTTCCTACATATAACTTAGTTGTAGAGTTTCACAGGTACTAGGTCTAGGAAAATGAGCAGTCTTCCCAAAGAGAGGGGTATTCTGATGATGACTAGAATTTTATTATTATTTTTAGGTATCAGAAAACCCATGTTAGAGAAATTATTAATGCCTCAATCTCAGAGTTCACCTCTTGCTCCATACCAAATAAACTTTGCTATAAGACTCATTAGACCCAGTGCTTAAGGACCTTTTCTTTTCAAAGAAAAAGGTGTGAGTTGGTTGGTGCCTGTAATACAGAGGGAGAGAGAGAGACTACTCTGGGTAGTGTGTTTGGGTTCCTGGTGATATAAATAATGGCACTGAATAAGTGACATGAAAACTGGTTCAGCTGCAAGACTAGAGGGTTGGAGAGAAAAGGTTACTTGGTTTTGATGAGGTATTTGGAAAATTGGTTCTGTTTTTCAGAGAGGTTATTCATGTGGTTCAGTATGGGAATTTTTCATCATTTTGTTAGGGAAGTGTTTTGTTTTCAGGTGTTTGTCTCAACGAAAAGGTCTGGATTCACAAAAACAGTAGAGGATAAGGAGGTGATAATTTCCTTTTAATGCAACTTCTTAAAGGCTGCAGCATCTGCATGGGTACAGGAAATCTGTGCTTCATTTCCTTTACTGTCTGGTGTACACCCTCCTCACTCAGGAAAAGCCCTAACCATTCTATCACAGAACGTACTTGTTCCTGACAGATGTTTTTCAATGACAGTGGGAACTGGCCACCAAATGCCCTAGCAGTAAGGTACTACATCTTTGTGTTTCTGGGAATAATTGAGATACATCTCAAAGCTCTGTGGGCTGTGGTATGAAAACTGCTGGTGTTTGAAACAAATAAAGAACAGATCGTTTAGCTTTCAGCTTGGCTCCTCTTCTTTGCAGGAACATTAGATGTTAAATTTTTGACAACAGCATTTCATGAGTGACTTGAAATGCTGTCTTAGTCCTTAGTCCCAAATGTATCCTGATCAGAAAGATGTAGAGGTATTTACTATCTGACAGAAGCATAGATGAATTTATCTTCTAAGTACTCAAAACTCTCTTTTTTTAATGAAGCAAAACTATTACTGTAGGTGGTCTGTATAGTTGAATCTAGGACACGTTTGTGGGATGCATAGTGAAAAGATTTTCCCTATAAGGAAAGGAGTTGAATTAGGCACTTCCCCAGATTTTATTCTTAGCTTTCCCTTCTTCAGATTCTTCAGTTTGAAGAAATTTTGGCCAACCCTTCCTACCGAGAACACTTCCGGATCTACATGGAGAGGATGGACAAGATGGCTTTGATTGGCCTTTGGGAGTCTGTGGAAAATCTGAAGAGTGCTAACAAGGTGGAAGCAGTTGCAAGTCTACATACATGGCTTTGTATATTGATGACACTGTTTGTTGTGATCTTGATGTTAGAAAATGTCTTTATGATTTTAAAATATCAATAGCATAGGGTGGGTTCTAAGAAATTTGGGGGTTTTTAACTGCTTCATGTTAATATTTAAGGATAATATTGCAATTAAAATTTGTGGGCTGTCGTGATGATGATTTATTGTTTGTTGGTGTAACAACATCAGTTGAAAGGAATATTTGATGTGCAGAAGTAGAAGAATTATTTCCCTCTCCTCCAGGGAAAAAACATGCAGGCTTTAGTTGTATCGGTTCATGTGAAACCTAGAACCACATTCCAATTGGATATTCCATAAATAAGCTTCTCATCTTGCCAAGTACAAGTAGCCCAAGTCAATGAAATTGTTCTTAAATCTTTTTGGAAGAGACATATTGCTTTAAAAGACCTCTCCCTAATCTGTAGCAGCTAAGTATCTCCAGGAATACCACACTACTGCTAGAGGGAAGAAACAATGCTATATTGGAGTTTTGTCTAAAACAAAGTAGGAATTAGAACCCTGAAACAAGGATAGAGAATATCACTTAAAGTTGCAATGAGTACTCTGAAACAGTGGTGTAGAGGAAGAATTTGTAGGGACAAATTTGCTGTTTGTGACCAGTGTGGTAGATTTTTGGGGGAAACAATTAAGCCTTCAGGATTCACTCTAGCATGAAATACAGATTTCATTATTGATTATCAGTTAACATTTTGTTCACTGTAATTTTATTGCTGTTATCCCAGTCAATTGGACAACATAAAGCATCCTGTAAACAGAGAGACAAATTGTAGTGTATGGGTAGTGAACCATTAATACACTCTGAAGCAATGGCTACCAACCAACTCAAGCTTTGAGTGTTGATGAAAACGGTTTTTCAGGCACTGTGAAGAGTTTTGATTTGCAAAATACTCATGATTGGAAAAGGTCCTAGAAATAATTTTATGACCTTTCAGCTGTGATTTTTTTCTCTTCCTGTTCGAAACAACATGTATGTACATATGGATATGGATATATCTGCCACTACAGGGGCAGCTTACAAAAAGGTAGTATCCTGCAGTCATGAATTAAGAATGTGGCTGTGGTATTGTTCCATGAGGCACATAAGAACATGGTGCCCTATTGAGGGAGTGGAGAAACCCTTTTTAGTTCTTTAAAATTTAGGGAGATGGTAAATTAGGGAGCTGATAATGGGCTGTGCTGCATTACTTTCTCTTTTTCCTGTTCATTAATGGAAAATTCAATCCTGTGCACTTTACTGTGCTCAGTAAAAATATCCAGCCTCCTTTACTGGTAAATGTCTCTTCAGTTGTGCTTTTCCTCTATTCTTGTTTCTTTTTTTTTTTTTTTTTTTTTTTTTTTTTAATCATGTAATAAGTGAATTGATTCTGTTCAGCAGAAGACAGGAGGGCTGATACAGCTAAGCTTTACCATCTGAATTTAAAATGGTGACCACACTGTTGCTCTAGCACTTTTCTTCCTTTTAATACCAGCTTTTGGAACATAGATTTAAAAGAGCGGGTGCAAAAGCTCTGGCAATTTTAGGGCACAGCTGTTTCTTTGCTTAACAAATATCCATACTTAACTTGTAAAATTGATTGCTTAGCAGAGGTGCACAGGCAGGCAGCAGTCTCAATCTCAGTAAGAGGTTTACAGATGCCTTCTCATACATTTGGATAGGAAATTAGCTTGATTATCCTTCAAATTGTGCACCTGGGTCCTGAGTCATCTTGATATTTTCAGTATCTTTTCATTATTCTTTTTTCCCCTCCCTCTCCCTTGCTTCCTAGGCTGAAATACCTCAACTGGTGAGTGAAATTTACCAGAATTTTTTTGTGGAAAGCAGAGAAATACCTGTGGAAAAATCCCTTTATAAGGAAATACAGCAAAGTCTTGTGGGAAATAAAGGCATTGAAGTATTCTACAGAATTCAGGCAGATGTTTATGAAACTCTAAAGGACAGATACTACCCCTCATTCATTGTTAGTGATTTATATGAGAGATCAGTCAAGAAGGAGGAAGAAAGAAGTTCTGCTCAGCTAACTCCTGAAGACAAAGATGAAGTGGTGAGTCACACAGACAATTTCTTTCACTGTTATTTAAAGTGATCTGAGAGACTGTCCTGAGAAAAGCATGTAGTAGCATCTTCTGTCCTTGAGCATTGGACTACTCTTCTTTTTTTTCCTCGTTTATAAATATCATCAGTCTTGTAGTTTCACCTGGTAAAACTTGTTTGTTTACATGCTCTTTGAATTGAAATGGTACAAAATGACAGACTACTTAAATTTTAATTTAGTTGAAGTAGATATTTCAGATTCCTAAGCCTTCTGTATTTCACATCTTTCATTATGCTCCTTAGAAACAGAGAATGCAAAACATACTTTGTATAAGCTCAGCTGCTCTGCTTTTGAGTGAAAAAATTCTCACTGAAACATCAGTAGGTTTTTGCACAGACATTATCCCTGTCTCCCATGCATTTCCTTCATACTAAATGGGTACTAAAGATTACACAAAAGAGAAGAAAAAGGCATGTAAAATATAACCTTAGTGGTTTTTATTGATTATTTGAATACATTAATAGGCTGTGTTAGAAGATAAATCTAGCACAAGAACTCTAAATAGTAAAGCAGAGCATTCAAAATGTCATAAGCAATAAGCCAATGGCAACACTTCTTGGGGCAGGCTTTTTCCTTGGGTTGTCTAAATCAGTCACGTCAGGGGAACTTGTGTTTATCCAAGAACATTTTGACAAGAGCACGTCTCAGACTATTGAGTGCCTCTTTCAGTCAGGCTGCTGCTTCAGATCAGCATGGATGTCTTTATTTTACATGTGAACTTGCTCAGAACTCAATGAAATGTAACAGTTTGCCCAAAACCAGATTTAAATAAACAAATAAGCAGAATCCAGAAGTGCAGCTCTGCATTCTGCTATCTAGAAACAATTTTCCAGAACCCAATGCTTTTGTATTTACTGCTTAAATGACTTTAATTTCTGTAGGCGAGTTGTTCTAATCCTCGTAGTTTGAGTATCAGCAAATCTGTAGAGATAAATAAGTAAATTACTTGCAATATGTGCTTTTAGAGCTTGATGAATCTTTTCAGTGTTTGTTTTTCCCTGTATTCTTTTCCTTGATAAAATATTCAAGATGGTTTTTCTCGTTTTCTCACTGCTAACTCAGCTCTGTATTGATGGCAGTAGGGTACTTCAAAGACTCTGTGTCCTTGTGCTTGCAGTCATTGAGACTTTGCACAATGGCTCTTAACAGTTTTGTCCAGAATTTCCTGAAGCATTAAAGGTTGTGCTTTCTAATTTCTTCATATGCTTTATTCAGTGTCTAACACAGATAATGATTTTTCTAAGAAAGCTGACACAACACTTTAGGGCTACCTGTACTCTGTCTGATAACATCTACTGTAGCTGCCAAAAAGTTAGATTTTTTGACATAGGCATCATCTGTCCTTCCTCTGAGTCCTTGGATATGTATGGGCCAGATATGATGTCTGTGTCAGCTGTGAAACCTTAAAGACTAATATATTGCTAAGACTGCTTACAAGATTCAAAGTAGTTTGTTTTATTGGGGTTTTTTTTCCTTTTTAACAACAAATTAAGAATAAAATTGTATATACTGCTTGAGTATCTCTTGAACAAAGCAGTTCTAATGGTTCTGTGCCATGCTTCAGGGTCTTTGAGATGAAAACAAATTGTAAGAGTCTTTCTGACGCTTCCCATGTTCTTTCCAATTTTGGGGAAAATGCAGTACTGGCTAATAAGTTTGTGGGTTTTTTTTCCTCCCCATATATCAGAAATTACAGCTTAGAAATTGAGTATTTTTGGAAGAATACATATTGTTAGCAAATACAGATTGGTTTTGGTTTAGGTTGCATTTTGGGTCTATGTTCTCACTTCCTGAGGCACTGTGGGCATCACAAGTGTTAATCATCTATAAATTTCACTGCTATAGCTGGAAAGATAAAAAGCCATCTTGTGCATTCGTGGAGGTGAGGACAAAAGGATGAGCCCTGATTAAATGTGAGAAAATCAAGTCACAAGATAGCAATCTGGAAAGGGCCAGACTGCTGGTTCTGCTGCAAGAGGAACAAGCTCTTTCTTCTTTCCTGTCTTGTTGCCACTTTCTGTTTCTGGGACAATCCTCCACAAAACACCACAAACTTCCAAGTGTTTCTACTTGGATAAATGTCAGAGGTAGAAATGCAGAAGCAGGCAGTGCTTGCATCCAGCACTTTGAGGAGAGGATCTGATGATGGCATTGGTGCTGCTTGTGTCAGATCACTAAAATAAGACTGACGTGTGTCACTCACAGAAATGGAAGCCATTATCAGTTTACCAATCAGGGGAAGACAGTGCAATCCATTATGATCTCAGCTTTGAGTGAACTGATTGTTTGTTAAATTTGGTATTTTGAATACAGGTTACTTGATTCTGTATTCTAGCGTTTCTCTGATAAACCTAGTGATTCAGCAGTGTTTTTTGCTTTAAGTGTCCGAAAAGTTAATGACAGGAAAATCATGTAGCCTACCTCTGGGAACACAGCCTCACTGATTTATAATTAATTGCAATTCTTTGATTTCTAGCACTGAACTTCACATGAAAAGTCTTTTAATTCTTCTGTGCTGAAAATAGCATTTTTGATTCCTTCTTTACCTCTGTGCTTCCCAATATCTGTAAGGTTTTGGTTTTTTTATGGTTCTTTACATTAGCATTTTTAAATAACACCCAGTATTGTTAATTATTATTATTTGTGTTACTGTAGTGTCAGAAGACAACATTCTGAGCTGAGGTCTGTATGCATGCTTGGAGGCAAGTTTCCGACCCTAGGAGTTTATAGATCATGCTAAGGAGATTAGTTATTGCTTCTCAGCCCTTTTTTTAATAAGATAAAAGATACGATGGAATTTACAATAGGATTATCTCCTCTAAAACTCACAGAATTTACAAGAGTATGAGAGTTCCTTCTGTTAGCTTGTTCTTCATGATATAAGGATATGGTTTATTTAGTTGGAATACCATTAAATAACATGGAACCCCTGTTCATGAGAATAGATTCAGCATCCCACAGATAAATTTAGATACACTCAGTCACAAAGAGACCTCGAAGATTGTTGAACGTGGCAGCAGTAGAAGCTGAGTGCTGTTTGCTAGATTTCAAGGTCTTCATGTCTATTTGGGGAAGTACAGTAAGAAGGGGGAGTCTGAGCTATATGTCAGAAGATGATAAGAAGAATGTCACTGAAAGGTGTGAAGTCTTCTATTTTTTTGCATGCCTGTAGTACACAAGATGGAAAAAGCTATTGGTTTGTCTGAATGAATATATGCAAATGAAGTATGAATTTAGGGTAAGGCATATGTGCTTTTATCACATTTTTATTAACACTTCTGAAAACAGCAGTAAAATCTGTGTAGAAAGCTAGAAGACTTGGTTTAGATTGTTCTGCAGGATGACAAATCTGTTTTGTGAAGGTTTGTGGGAGGCAGGACTGTTTGTTAGAAGCATGGGTTTGTTTTTTTTAAATTTTGTTCCCTGCTGCCCCATCCTCATTATCTTTCAGCTCAGTGCTAACTATTTGCTCTTCTATCTGGTTCTGAATATTGATCATGGCTACTAAGGTGTTTTTGTTTTTAAAATAAACTTTATCTCTCATTTACACTAAAGCCTTAGCTTGAAGGTCAGTTTTACATGGTTGCCAAATAACTGTAGTAGAAATAGTAATGAGGCTTTGTCTATGGGGTTTTTGGTTTTGGGTTTTACAACAGACTGGCATTTCAGGTTGCTGATGGTTGGAATATCTGTTATACCTACATTTTCATCTGTATTGAGAAGTGTTCTTATACATAAAAATCTTACAGAGCAAACAATAACCCACCTCCTTCCCCATCCCTGGCAGTGTTTAAGGCCAGGCTGGATGGGGCTCTGACCAGTCTGGTCTAGTGGAAAGTGTCCATGGCAATGGCAGTGAGATTGTAACTGTGTGATCTTTAAGGTCCCTTCCAGCTGAAACATTCTATCATTCTATGAATAACTGTGTATTTTCTCATATTGATGTAGCAATTACCTCAATCCTCTGTTCCTAGAGCCAAGGTTGTGACGAAGCTACTGAAGAATGCAGCACAAGAATTAATGAACAAGCCAGTTATGCTGTAAATAAACTTCGCCAGCTAAATGACAAGCTTGAGTATAAGAAACAGGCTCTAAATTCCATTTGTAATTCACCAAAACCCGACAAAAAGGTACATACTAGTAGTGTCTTCAGTTATTTTATTTTATTTTTTTTGATATGTGTATGTTTGTGTACTATCCACTTGTCACATTTTGGACAGGTCAGATGGTTATTTCAGTCAACTTGTTAAATAGAAGGTGAAACTAGAACTTAGTTTTAATTGTTTGTTTTCCCCATATCTAAAAGCTATTGTAACTAAAATTGTGAATGTGCTATATATTGCTTTGTTGGCCATGGAATAATGATCACTCTCCCATGGTCTTGCTGCTTTGTTGGTGGCAAGGGGTGTTTCTCCTGTCCGGTGCTGGCTCTTGGGGACACAGCACAACTCCCTCCTCTGCAGTGCCAGCTCTGGAACTTCCTCCAGCTAAGGGATAAAAAACCCCAAACCTTTAGGAGTGACTAATTGCTTTACTAGGAGCTGGGAGAAAGCACGCTGTTATCAAAGGAAAAATTCTGAAGGATATGAAACTTCAAATTTCTGGGCTGGGGCAAACATAAAGTAATCCTTTTCTCTTTGCAAAGTTAAACAGGTAGGCAATCTGGGAGTATACTCAGGAGAAGCAAGTGACTTGCACATAGCTTGGGCCAACTTATTTGTGTTGATATTACAGGCCTGTTGTTTAGATGCACTTGGGCCTATCTTGTCATGTGTAATGGGATTCAGTTGCAGATGGTAGATGGTGGGTAAGATGAACAAGTAGCCAAGATGTTTTCCTAAAATCCTGCTGCCAGGGATGACAAAAATGTACCTGCTTATTAGTCATTGCTCAGAACCTGGCTTGTCTATACATTTGTCCTTCACTCAGGGTGAGCACTAAGATGCTTGTCTGAAAAGGAGTTGACACCCCACTCATTCTGTGCTGCCCCAGCTCTGGGCATAGCTACCTCCAGGAGAAAGATGTAGACATTAGAGTTTGAAGCCACCCTGGCTAGCTTCATTCCCTCTGTCCCTTCCACATCTTTCTTCTGCCAGAGGGTACTGCAAACTGAAAATATTTGCAGCTGTTGCAAGGTGTGCCCCTTCCAACCCAAGCCATTCTATGATTCTATATAACTAAACCTGTATATAATGCTCCATTCACATGAATATTCTATGTTTTCTTTGCTTTCTTGAAACCATAATTTTTATATTCTTTCTATACTTAGGCTCTTTGGGAGGTGGGGATTGTACCCCTGCTAAAGTGTAGTGTGTTTTTCCATGTATGTTTTTGTTTATAAAATATTCTTTGTCTTGGAAAATACACATCTCTGAAACAGAATAGTAAAATGGATCCAGTATTATTGAAAAGTGTCAATATTTGGTTTGTAAATGTAACAGCTTACCACATGTTCTGTATCTATATCTATTGGATGTTCCTGGATGCTGCTGGAGTCAATGTAAGGTGATTGTAGAGAAGCCTCAGCACTGACAGCAAATGAAGTTAAATATAAAATTATTCTGAAGGTGACGTATTTGTTAGAAAATTGTTATACAGCTGTCTGATGGATAATATTTTACATCTGACATGAGACAAAAATTCTGAACAAGACAGAATTCCTGTAGCTCTGTAGAACATACCACTTGTGTAAGTGATAGAACTGGTAAACTTGGCTAAGTGGTATATCATATTTAAAAATGAAAAAGTGTCATCTGCTTTGCTGTGTTTCTAATGTCACATCTTATGCATATTTCCACCTTCTCTTGTCATACTGGCAGGATGTTTGACTACTTTTTGTGCTTTCCACAATAACAAATCCTTGTCTTCTCAAAACTAAAATGAAATAAGTGGTAACTTTCTGAGCAATTTCTAACAGCTAAATTCCTAGAAATGAGATCTATTCCCAGTTTCTTCTGTCACATGATGTGTACCTGAAAATGCTAAAGATATCTTCAGTAAGCTGTATTTCATTAATGGCAATTTCAATTTCTCATAAAACATACCATATGTAAGATAGAATCCTATCTCAAGTGTATTTTATGCTGGCAGTATGATGATAGTTGTAACTTGCTTTTTATTTTAGTGTGAGGGTTGACCTTGAAGATTGTTGTGTACTCTAGAAGTTGGAGGCATCATCGATTCCCTCACTTGTTATTTTTTAAAAATTTTAATCCACATTATTGTTCTCCCTCTGCTTTTGTACCTCTTTCTTTTGGAACAGTGTCTCTAAAGACATAAAGCTTGTGTGCTGCACAAGCTTTTTCCTACAAATTGTAATGAATAAACTTTTCTCTGCAGATTGTTTCTAAGCTGAAGGATGAAATTACTCTGATGGAGAGAGAGCACAGTGACCTTCAGCTGCACATTGCAAGAACAGACTGGTGGTGTGAGAATCTTGGCATGTGGAAAGCCTTCATTGTCTCAGGAGAGGTAGGGGATTTTTTTCTGGCTTTTTATCTTCTAGGACTATTCAAACTTGAATGAAAAGCAGAAGAAAAATGTATAGATACTTTCCTTATGCTTGTTTATACTTAAAATTTACTTGTGGGGGAAAGAACCCTAGCCTCTTCTGAGCTCCTCTTCTCTTTCCCCAGTGGCTACTATGATGCATACACAGAGTTTCTGTTCCTCAGACACTATTGTAATCGAGTTATAAAAATTACCTGCATGTACATAAACAAATTTTGGCACTGAGTAAAGTAAGTTTCTATCTTAGGGGTGCTGTTTTTCATGAGAACTGTCTCTTCCTATTATACCATGCTATTGCACTTGGGTGCAGTTGTGTCTCTTCTATGTCTCAAAGATGCAGTGCTTATACTTTGTGTTTTGTATTATTGTATTTAATGGCTGTACAGTTTCAAGGGGCTTGAATGCCCAGAAAGAAAGCGCTTTATATCTGTAAGTTGAAGAAGTTCTTACTTTTTTTTTTTTGTCTTGTTCTGCTGTTCCATTTGGGCATAGGTAGAAAATTGTAGAATGCATGTAAAAATTGTAATGAAAACAAAAAGTATCACAATTTTATGGTTCTCTATTAATGCTTACCATGAAAGGAACTGAGTGCTTGTTGTGTAGTTAAGTGTAGGCTGACATACATAAGTAATCTTCTTGACAGTATCACTACAAAGAACTAAAGATTAATTTGGTTTCTACTGGCTTGCCATTAAGAAAATGTTCCTGAAATGAATATAAATAGTTTTCTTGAGGTAATAGTTTGTTGGAGGAAAAAAGTATGTGCTGTGAAGTTCATTTGGCTGCATCTTAAGCTCTTGCAAGCCAGTGATAGATCTGTCAACACTTAAAGTCATTGTAAAAGAAGAAATAAATCTAACGGGTCAAAAAATGTAAAGTGCCAGTTTTAAAACCAAATTCTCCATATGAAAACATCTGCATTTGGTTTTTCTTTTAATGTTGTTTGCAAGTGACACTATTGAGAACCGAAAAGTTCTTAATCTGTCTTCTTAAAAGTTATTTGTAGCTTTTGAAACCCCGCCTTAAAATCTGGTAAACTCTGGGTGCAGAAAAACTGCAGAATGGCAGCTTTCTGCACATATGTAACCATATACAGCCTTCCAGCATCTCTCTCATTACCAGAGGAGAAGGTGGTTTGACTAAATTAGAGGGATGTTGGAAGAGGCTTTTAATTGCTTGCTGCCTTAGCTATAACTTAGGTAATTAAATATAGGCTTCCATTAATTGTGCTGTTTGCAGCTCCATGTTCAAAGGGTAGGCTGGAGAAAACATGGCTGTTGTAGTTATCTCTGTTAATTAATTGCTTGGAAATATTGTAGCTGCAGTGGATGATTTCAGGGGGCATGAGTAGGTGACATAGATTTTACATCTGCAAAATATATTGTTGCCAATCCCAGAATATAGCTGGGTGATCTTAGAAAGAGAAAGCCTTGGCCCTATTGTTCAGCAGAAAAGCTTAGTGAATTTTGCTATAGATCTTGACCTGAAAGTGTAATAGCAAGTCATTGACCTATTAAACTGATCTACTAAATCAGTTAAGAGAAGGCACAAAAACAATACTTAAGAAAGAAAATCTTTGTTAGAACTCCTGTTTGTAATCTCTTAGCTTGAATCTTTCAGTCTTTATAGTTTTGAGTCATTTAAATATACTAAATCTATGTCCATGAACTAGATATATTTTTAAAAATCAGTGTAAATAATATAATCTCTAGGTGTCTTTTGGTACCTGATATTTCTGAAAAAATTTACGTTGGGGACTCAGTATTTTGGTTGACTGGTAGAGGTTGAAAAATAAGCAGGAACATGCAGATTGAAGGGGTCTATGACAGCAAATTGTGTAATTCTGTGAGTCTCTTCCTCATTACAGGTACATAACTTAGAGCTAAATAACCTAACTTGATCTGTTTGCTTTAATGGTTTTGGCCTTATATAATTTAAAATTGTAAAAGACATTCTGTCTCCCTTGTCCAAAAAAACTGTTTCAGAACATAACATCTTCTAAAAAAACTATTTCTTTCATAAGAAATTGAGTTTGTAGATCTGAATAAGGTGAAAAAATTCCATGTTTCTTGTGGTTACCACGCTACACACGTGGACAAGAGGTGGCTGAAAAGCTGCTCAGCAGACAAGAACTTGGGACTGCTGGTTGACAGCTGTCTGAACATGAGCCAGGAGGGTGCCCAGGTGGCCAAGGAGGCCAAGTGCATCCTGGCTTGTATCAGAAATAGTGTGGTCAGCAGGAACAGGGAAGTGATTTTTCCCCCTGTACTTGGCACTGTACCAGCAGCACCTGAAAACAGGGCTAGAAAAGGGTTAGGAAGGTTGGGAAAAAGCTGGATCTTGTTTTGGGCAGGAGTATTAGAAGTGCAGTCTCACGGTGTTGCATGCAAGGTTTGTGTTCAGCAGGACCTCTGGGCTTCAGCTCTGACCCTTGGAACACCTTTTGGCTGGAAACAGTAGATATGCTGGTGGCTTTCAGATGTGCAGCCCATCTTGAGTGGGCTGCAGGTCTGTCAAGGGTAAATGCAACTCTTGAATACATTTGGAGGGGAGTTTCCACTCAAGATGAGGAAGTTTTACAGTCGCTGTGCAGGTGCTGGACTGTGTCCCTTGAGAAGGGTGGATTTGAATGAGGAACTTCTTGCATGGGAAGTGGTTCTGAAAGCACTTTTGTTTGCTTAACTTAGCAAAAGGGAGAATCAGAGGAATGGGGCTCTCTAGTTTGAATTCACTCAAGATAGCAATTGTATGAGATGGTGCCTACTAACACCAAAGGACTGTCTCTCCTGGTTTAGAAGGCCTCCTAACATTTCATTTTTCTGTTTTCTAGTTGACTCTTTCATTTGGAAAAACAAATTCACAAGTACCTAAGTTGATAAAAAATTTTGCATTCCTAAGATGCTGAACATTTTCAGTATTTGTACGAGGATACTTGAAAAAAGGCTGTCATGTGTCTACATTTAGTAATTGGATTATAGATGATTCTGCACATAGACCCTTACTTGAAGCAGGAGTACTAAGTCCTCCCATTTTGTGAACGTGCTTTCAGAGGGATAGCTCTCTCCTGACAATTACGGTGCAGATGACCCTACACATGCAGATCCCTGCCCTGGGAACAAATTTGGCATGGAGAATCATAGGCGTGACTCAAATCAGCAATTTTAGCGCTGATCTCCCAGTATTGAAAAAGGACAGCCAGGAGGTGTTTGTGAGTCACCTACAAACACAGATCCAGTCTAGCTCAGGGTAGACAGTGCAGGGACTGCCCCAGACGATCCCAGTTGTTCTGCACCATGTCTCTCTGACCTGCATCTTGGAGGCCGTTCAAGCATCTATTTCTGCAGTAGTCTGGCAGGAGATAGGCACTTCTCCAAATAGCTGTGCTGAGAACCAGGCACATTTGCAGGCATTCAGGCTGGTGCTTTGTATTCTGTCTGAGTGCTGCTGCAGCTTTTTGACAGAGGTTTGTGAAATCTGGGCCTCAGACTTGGCTTCCCAATGGTCCTTGTGCAGCTTTGAGGAATGTATCACAGGGAATATTATCAATGTACAGCTCTGAATAGCTCAAAAATATGAATGCACATTTCAGCCACATGGCCTTTACAATGGTGACGTAGTTGCTTGTCAAATTATTCATCAATAGCATTGTGTGGTCAGATCTCTACTGGTCAGGCTTCTCAGAAAAGAGGTCATAACTATATGAATTTTAAAGTTTATTCTTATCCTAATTAGTTAAATATTCTTTTAAAAAAGCTTTTAATAACTTTGCTCTAAAAGACTGGGAGTCATATTTTATAATTACCTTTTGTTATTTGCATGTATATAAAGACAAGCATTCTAGAGTGAAATAGTTTATGCATTTCCCTTATTTGTCTTTCATAATCAATTTGGGTGTCTCTTCAAAATAAGTAAACAAAAATTTGCTACCAATAGGACATAAGGATGAAATTCTTATGTCAATTCTCATATCAAATGAAGAAACAGTTTGCTCACCCTGCAGCCATTGTCTCAAAAAAGATGTTTAACTTTGCTTCCCATTTGCACAATATAGTTAATTGCTTCTCCTTCCTCTGGCTGAGGACTGTAGTTGGATTCAGTAGTATTTTTGTAAAGTTGTGAACTTAATATATAACATAAACCAGACGACTGGGGATACCAGTATCATTAAGTCACCCCAGGACATTCCCTCAGAAATAGTGCATGGGAATCATGAACTCTGCAAGGAGAACAGCTCGAGTGAGCAGAGAAATCGCTCTGTAACAGCACCAGCTGTTGCAGGACCCAGCTGCAGAGCTGCTGTGCCTGATGTGTGGGTGAGCCTCAGCAGAAGCACTGGGAAGGGAGGGTGGAAATAAAGGGAAAACACTCAGGTAAATGCAGATAGGAGAGATGGAATATTGATGAGCAATCACAAAGGTACATGGTAAGTACCTTAAAAACCAAAATACACTCAGCTGTTTGAAGCAGACATGTCAGGGAGACTTTGCTGATGGACAGCATTGCAAAACTGTATGTAAAGTGTTAATAGTGGTTAGCTGGAACCCTGATTCAGGACTGGCACAGCATTTTGGGTGAAGGTTAGTTCATTAAGGGAATTGCTCCATAAGTAGCTTTCAAATCTCAAGTGAAGTGTGGGACTGATGAGTGAGTTTGCAAGCTGGTCATCTGGCAGCTCAAATGTTCCACTGTTTATTTTCAACAGAGATTATCCTATCTGTTTTTCTTCCCCCACAAGGTTTTAGAAGAGAATGGAGAACAAGTGCCCTGTTACTCTGTCATGGTGAGTTTACAAGAAGTTGGTGGAGCTGAAACTAAGAACTGGACTGTTCCCAGGAAGCTCAATGAGTTTCAGAACCTACACCGCAAACTGAGTGAGGTACGAATCCTGGCTATGGGAGGGAAAAGATAAAAACTATCAAAATTTGGCAGAATGATAAAAATTTAATGCTGCCAGTTTTGATGTCAGCCATTTGGCTTTTAGCCCTTTAGAGCTAGATTTCTGTCTGCATATTTCTGGTCTCTAACAGATGTTTGTAGAACTGATTTATAATTATTTTTTCCCCTTAATAATGTTTTCCTGGACTAACCCCATTTCAAAATGGTGTATGCTCTGTAGTGTCATAGAACCTGCTATAAGAATGAGGTTTTATGTCTGGCTTCTAGGAAAGTATTAGAAACAATAGCTTTTGGGGAGAGAGAAGGTTGGGACCTTTTTCACAGTGCTTTAACCTGTCTGTCTGATAAGGAATAGATAATGCGCTGTAAAGGGAAAGGGTTTAGATGTATCAGCCCATAGTGGAAAAGGGAAAGTGGTCTCTTGAGAGGGGTGTGAAAGGGAGATGAGAGCAAAAAGGAGTCTCTTCATTTCCATTCTGAACCACCTGTCTTCTCTGCATACACCTTAACTGAGCTCTCCTTTCTCCTACACAGTGTTTTCCATCATTAAAGAAAGTTCAGTTGCCTTCTCTCAGCAAGCTGCCCTTCAAATCCATAGACCAGAAATTCATGGAGAAATCCAAGAACCAGCTTAATAACTTTCTGCAGGTAAGAAAATAAAGACAAAACCAACAGATATCTAAACAGAATAGAGAGGCTGGTGCCTCTCTATTGCATAAAGAAAGAGCCTGGAAAAAATAGGTCAAATGTAAGTTTTGACACTAAATATCAAAGTTGTCCAAAATGCCTGAAATTGAGATGAGCTTGACTGATAGTAACCATTCCTCTAGTGGTAAGTTAATTTAAACTTTGATTAATTAAGGAATTATAAATAATGAATAATTAATTGCCACTTTTAGCTAAAACTCTTTACAACAAATTCCTTACAAATGAGAAACTGTTAATAAACAAGAAAGTTTTAAGATTAGAAGCTTTATTCTTACTAGTTCCAGTGCTTTAGAAATATGTTCTTAAAGTATCTTTGTGAGATAGGGACTTTTTTTCCCCCACACTACGTCTGAGCTGAGACTTAAACAGTACTATTGGATGCTTCAACACCTGTTATTCCTTAACAAGAAATATTTAATTGATGTGTTGCTGTGTTGTAATATGTCATTATTTTTATTTCTTAGAAATTACTCTCTGATGAAAGACTCTGCCAGAGTGAAGCACTTTATGCCTTCTTGAGCCCCTCCCCAGAGCACCTCAAAGTTATTGATGTGCAAGGAAAGAAGTCATCGTTTTCACTCTCCTCATTTTTAGAACGACTTCCTGGTGATTTGTTTTCTCATCAGGAGGTAAGTGGTAGAAAAGTAATCTTCCCAAATCTAATTACTTATCCTAAGTAAGCAGGGAGAGTCATTAGTATTGGAATGGCAGGCAATATTTCCAAAGGTCATTTGTAATTTACTGTAAGTGAACAAAGAGTCAGAAATAAGAGCAGCCTCTGAATTGAAAAGACATTTATTAAAAAAATAGGTTTCCTGCCTTTTGGTACATGCATATAGGCAAATGTGTAAGCTATCACAAATAACAAATTGCTATTCATGTGGGAATATTTATTTTTTTATAGCAGAATTTTCCACTTTTTGAGTTCTGGACATGTATATTTCAGAGGGGTTTTGGCAGGTAAATATAATTCTCACTTGGGAATATTCTCTTGGCAAGAACAGCTGTGTATCCTTAATAACTTCAGGACAACTTCTGAAGGAGAGCTAGTTTTGACAGGAAACTGTTGGAAAATAGTACAGACTTACTGAGGGAATTTGCAAATGCATGCAGGAGCTGATGTGGGCAAACCAGTTGGAGAATGTGTTATTATGCCATAAAAGCCCATTGTTTATCAAAATGCAATGAATAATAGATTAGTGACTAAAATAGCTCGTTGACTAAATTGACCATAATTCCATGGCACTCTATTCTGTGGTGTTCATGTTCAGATAATGCAACATTCAAGGACCTGTTTCTATTCCTGCTTTTAGTTGTATGTTATACAAAATTAATATGAAACAGTTAATTTCTTACATGCTGTAGCTGTCTGGAGTGGAGAGGTCTTATGCAGGATAATTTGAGTTTGGGGAGCAGTACTAGACTTTTTACAGTTCTTGCCTTATAATAGGGAGAAAGGTGGTCTTGCATCTCAGAAATATATATTTATCTTTAAAAATTATACTGTATTTTCATCTAGATGCTGAATGCATATGCCTCATTTCAGAGTAACAAATATAAAGAAAGTTTGAGGAACTAGTTTTATACTTTGAGAGAAGTACTGGAGTTCTAAAATCCAAAGTGCTTTCACTAAAATGACTGTTAGGTAGAAGTAGCATAAAAGCATTGAAGTGTGAAGCTATTTGTATTTTGCTATTTAATTGAAAAACATCCTCAAGACAAAGCCAGAGTGCATAGATATTGTATTATGGGACTCTGTAGGAGGAAATAGTTAGGAAAAGGAAAGAGAATTTTTAATACTAGTGTGTGAGAGGAGAAAGAACAAATAAACAAAGCAAAAATTATGCAACTGTTACTGAAAAGGAAGTAGAGCAAAAAATGCCCACAGAGTGTGGCAACAGAGGAGTTGGAACATAACTTCTTACTGAGTTTAAATTTAATACTATTTATTACTTGTGGGACTAGGAGCTTAATTTTGGGTAGAGTGTATTATGCCAGGCACTGTGCAAATGCAGACAAAGACCATCCTGCTTCACATTTCTCTTCCCTCTCTTCTCCCTTCTTTCCTTAAGCTTACACATAAGAGAAGACAACACGATACAGATGGTGGGAACTGTTAGACCCTCTGAATGAGTATGTCAAACCATTGTCCTAAAATGAAAGTAATGAAATAAAATGGAGGGAGATGGATTGTGAGGCAGTCTGGGATTAGCTCTGCTGTTTCCTGGACTCCCATGTCTTTCAGTAAGAGCTTTGGGTCAGCTTAGTCTTGCCCCACTGATACCATCTTGGCTACCTTCCTAAAGCACTTAAACTGGAGTTAAATTATTTGGTACAAAGTCATAAATGAAGTTAGTTGTGTTAAACCACATGTAAAGCTGGTATAATAGTGTTCTTTTTGTAACTGAGGATTCCCAGTTTAGTTTGTGTTTTGGACTTTGTAGTTGAGAATGCTATCATTCAGCTTTCTCTTCTGAATGATCTCAGAAGATCTATCTCTAGATAGATCTCATCTCACGTTTTTCAAATATATGTTGGAGCAATAATATTGCCTCTTGAGTGTTTTTTTCAGGATTAGATACTGCAGCAATTTCTTTATATATACAACTCCTTGGACAGGGTTCACTCTAGAATGTATTTCTTAGCTCTCTGGACCAAAACCAAATCAGAGCAAAAATGCAGTTGATATCATCTAGAAAGAAGGGCTTTTAGGTTTATAAATTTACTCGATAGAAAATGCCCTGCAGTGTAAGAATTTACAGTTCTTGTTGCATTTTCTAAATGACAGGAGATTCACAGAATAGCAGAAAAATAAACCAATATTAGATGATTAAACGATGAGGATGAAAGGAAGAGATGACTGGTATCTCTAAAAACCAGGCTGAAGAAGAAAATTTGCACATCATTCTGACCATTTCTGATCCAGAGACTGGGGCATTGCACCAGCCTCACTGGAGGTCAGGCCTGCTTCTCTTTAGCTTTGCTTGAAGCATAGGCGGTGGGCAGGGGAAAATCCAGGAAAGCAGAGGGATGTGTTGGCTGCCAGGAGTAATGATAGGTGTTTTAGTCCTGATCCTGAAACAATCTTCATGACAGTGAGAAACAGCCTGCTTCTCCCTTCACTCTTGAATAAATGGTACTGCCAGAATTGAGGTGGTTCAGCCCAGTCATCTTCTGGGAATCTATCTGAATAACTCTTCTCCTTTTGGTGCCCGGGTATCCTCCAGCTCAGATCACTGTGACAATATTGTGTTTCTGCCTGGGACTAGTTTTCATTAATGCTGCTTGTCTCTGCAGCGGCCAGTTCCCTTTCCATTGCTGGGTTTGGTTCCCATTTTACTTCAAGGACAACTGGTTTGTATCTGATCCAGCTGAGTGGCTTCAGCTGTGAAGGCAGTCAGTTCTCCTGGAGAGCCAGCTACCTGCTTCTTCCTGTGCAATAACCAGATTTTCCCCTTTTCTTCCCAGCTGTTTGCATAGCAAACAGCTCCAGCTGGCTAGCTCCCCATTCTGAATGGTTTTTTATGGGTGTTGTGTCAGAGGAGGCTTTGAAATCACAAACACTGTTAAGTGCCATCTCCTGCTTACAGCTCTCACCTGTTTCCTAGCAGTACACGACTCCCACATCACCAGCCTTCTTTTATCCAGCTGGTGTTGGTAGGAAAATATAGGCAGTAGATTCTGAAAATCTGGGCAGCATTGAGGTGTTTACTGATGCAAGGCTGCAAGCAGAAGATACAGCTGTGCTGATGATTCCAGCAGTGCAGTCCCTCATCACTTTAGGCCAATGGGAAGTTTTCAAATTCCCCAGTGAGGTTGCTGTTTGCCAGATCCTGCTAGCAGCAGTTTTTGGCTCTAATGCTGTTTTTTGAGAGGACTGGCTATGCTCCTTCCCCAGAGCATGGCAGCAACTAAATCCATTCTGGAAGAAGGCTGGGGAACTACAGCACATACTCATGTTGTCCTTCTCTTCCTAGGAAGAAACGGAAGAGGACAGTGACCTGTCGGACTATGGAGAGGAGGTGGATGGGAAGAAGGACTCTCTTGCTGAACCGTGTTTCATGCTGATTGGAGAGATTTTTGAACTGCGAGGAAGTAAGATGTAAACCTGCTCAGTTGCTAATGGAGTCTCTTGGCTCTGTAGGGCACTTTGTAATTCAGATTTTTTTTGTGTTTCAATAAGTGGAAACATTCTTGCAATCTATACTGCCAGTTTGGAACCAAGCTATTCTTCAGTAGCTCATAACTTTGGAGCTTTCATTCAAAAGTGAAATTACAATATAAAACGGCTATAAAAATGTAAGTGGTAGGAGAGACCATTTGCACTTAATATTTTTAAATTTTTCATGAAAAAATAGAAAAAAGGGAAAAAAGGACAGTAGTATGCTTTTTGTAAAAAGGCTGTTAGATTGTAAGAATTCTTGAGGAAGGAAAACATGGCTTTATTATAGAACATGTCTGACAAAGAAATATAATTTAATATCTTTAAGGTTATACAAATTACATTATACACTATTATGTTAATATTTAATACAGTTTTAATATCTTAATTAAATATTTACATATTTAATATTTACTAAGGTTAATGTTTTTGTTTTAAATTAATTATATATGCATTTCAGTTCTGCAATTTCTATAATGAAAATTATGCTAGAATTCTGGTATATTTAAATACTGGATTTCCACCCCCCATCCCCCCTTATGTAACTGAATTATGATAATAAAGAAAACTATTTTTGTTTCTATTTGAATGTGCAGCCACACATGATGCTCTATAAAATTATTTACAGGGTAACTATTGCAAAATGTGGCACCTTCCAAAAATGGCAGATGTATCTTCCAAATATAGACTTTATTGTGATGGTGAACAGTAGAAAGAAAGATTTACCAGTAATTACTAGGAAGCACTCACTTTTGTTTCCTTTATTTGTAATGGAAAGCTGACTGCTTGGTTTGAGTAAAAATGTTTTCAGAATTTTAATGGTGCTGCTGTATGTACTCTATACTAAGATCTGAAAAGGGTGGGAAGTTTGAGGACATTTGGCTTTTTTGTAGTAGAAAAAGGGTTTTGAGTAGTTGCATTGCTCGATAAACTTGAAATATTCTTACGTATAAAAATTTACGGTATAACCTAGAATGCATGTTATATGTATGCTTATATAATCTGCAAGACTTAAAAACCATACAGCAAACAGTACAAGGAATGTAATCAAGAAAAACAAAACCTTTGTACAATTAATGGAATCTTAGAAAGGGTTATAACAATGTGTTTACTGTAGGAGTGGATTGTTTGGGTTTGGTTCAGTGGGAAGTAGGGGGAAGGTTTTGCACGTGGTCATGGGTTCTGTAATGTTATTATAACATTCTGTAATGTTATTAATGTTTTTGATCATTATTTTTTATAATTTTTCATTGTTCCAGTGTTCAAATGGGTCAGAAAAACATTAATTGCACTAGTACAAGTCACTTTTGGAAGAACTATCAACAAGTAAGTAGCTGTTGCTTTAACTGAACATTTATCATCATTCTATGAAAACAAGGCCGACAGCAGAACTGTTAAAAAAATAATCTGGACATTCTGTTGGATATGATAATCTGCATTTATTTTCCACAGCTCAATTTACAGCTATGCTATGTTTATTAGCAAAAACACAGATATGTGAAATATCTTTATGTTGCCAGGTGAGGCTTGCCTAAGGCTATATGAGAATGCCTGTCTGTAAACACCTTTGTGTGGAAAGCTGTATCCCTGGTCAGAAACAAATTTCAGAAGTGTTCTACCAGCATAACAAGCTGCTTTTCATCCAGTCAGTGACTAAATTTGCACATGCCAGCACGGCTTTAAAGCCTCTTATGTATATTATATAGCAGTAAATTGGACTGGTCTCAGACAGTATCCACTCACTGAATTTTAAATTGATTGGTTCATTTGTTCATACCCTGCTGATAACTGGAAAATGCCTGAAGGAGGACAGAGTGGGAGAGAATGTGTGATCATAGCTTGCATGCAAAGTTCCTGTGTAGCTTTTTACATGTAAGTTGATTTTATGTTTATCGATTTTAAGGGGTTTGGCTGTATGACAGCAATACTGAATGCAGCTTGCTCTCTACCCTAGACTTGTGGTGTTGAAGGCTACAGTGAGTGGTGCAGCTACAAGAGGAGGCTGCTATCTCTATCTGTAATCCCTTCAATAATGTGCTTTGCTATCTGTGAAGGAACTTACTGTGCTTCTATCAAATCTGTCTATTTTTATCGTAGCAGGCACATCTCTGCACGCAACTAGTTTGGAGTTTGCTACAATTAGTTACCTGATTTTTGTGACTTTTCCTGGTGGAGCCTTTGTAGTGCCCACCCTTGAAATATAGTTTTGATGTATATTTCAATATAGTACTTGTAATTTGTAACATATGTTTGTGGATTACATTGAAAAGCAGCCTTCTCTAAGTCAGGTATGTGGAGTGACCTAGATCCTAGAGCACTCAGAGCTGAATATGACCTGCTGTGATGCCAATGAAATCAACTCAGATATATTGGCAAAATTACATGAGAAAGAATCTCTTCCACTACTTTGAGGAGTAAAAAGAAGAAATATGGATGAAACATGGAAGACTAGCTCTGATGGGCTCTCTTTCTACACTTCTTTATAGGCAAATCCGTGACACTGTACACTGGATGTTCAGTGAACCAATGCTTGTTTACTACATTGGTGTGTTTCGAGATGCTTTTTGGCCAAACGGGAAGTTAGCTCCACCACCAAGAGCCAAGAGTGATGAACAAAAGCAGGAGACAAAACAGAGAGCACAGCAAAAACTACTTGAAAACATTCCAGGTGAGATCACTTTGATTCTGCTTAAGCAAAGATTTAATAACTAGTAAGGAAACTGGTTAATCAAATTATTTTCCTGTAGAGTTCTAAATTATGGTTATTTGCATAAATAAGGATGATTTTGGTCTTAGTCTTTGCCTTTCCTGCCTGACTGGTAAAAGGCTTTGATTCAGATATTATTGGTGGATGCAAAATCAAAATTGCTGTATTTCCGTACATAATATTCAAGGAACTTCAGTCAGTTCTCTCTCTGTTGGTTCTCTGTGAGCAAGTATGTGGCTCTGCTACTTGGAATTACTTGCCAAATAGGGAGAGTGGCACCACCCCAGTTACTTCTTCCTCTTACATTTCAGAGTTGGAGAGAGAGGATTGTCCCATGCTGTCAGTGTTGTGCTGTCTGTTTCTGATAAGAGGTTTCGGGGCACTGAGACCTGCAGCCTGGGCAGGAGGAGATCCTAGATGGGAGTGGTTTCCTCTATACTTTCCTTTCCTACCCTTATATGCCAAGCCTGAGCAGCTGCCTTTTCAGACAGCATGCATCTGGGGCACTGTTCTGAGGTGCTCCATCCTGTCCCACTGACAGAACAGGAAATCTTGTTATGTATTTCTGACTTCCTAGAGATCATGTAAACCCAAAGGCACCTAACTGAAAAGAATCAAAATCATTACTTTTTGCACTTGGAAATGCACTTAAACATAGCTTGAATGCTTTTTCTCTGCTCCATCTGAAGAGAATGAGCTATTTTATGGCTTCACTTAGATCTCTCATATACCCCATGCATTAGGTACTTTAATCACTTTTACTGGAAAAAAGGAGTAGGTATGCATGAAAAATACTTGTCATTTGATGTGTAAACAACTCTCCATTTACTGCCTGTGTTACATACTCATGTACTCACCTAAAGAGCCTTCTATAGTTTTATATGTTTATGGTATTGTTTGATTTGGTTTGTTTGTTTCTGAGCTATGTTAGGACATAGCTGAATGCACCTTAGATGAATGATGGAACACTGAATCACTATTTATTCTCTAATTTAACCCAAAATGTGAATAATTGATTTAGAGTTCTCTTAACTGCCTTCTTATGGGAAGTACCCTCTGTGAAGACTGAGAGGCAATTCTAGTGCTAATTTTTTTTTAAATAATGTAGAATGTCTTTGTGGCAGAAGGCATATTAAAGTGAATGGTTTAATGATGTGTGAGATAAGACTTGACTCAGTGAGGTGAACTACTGAAAAGGCATTTGATATCTCATGTTAGAACACTTAAAATTTCTAAGATGTACACACAATTATCTATTGAGTAACTTGTGAATAAGGGTTTCTCTTCAAGCAGTTTTTTGTAAAACACAGTGTTAGGGACTGTGGGTATCTTGTAGCCACAGGCTAATGAAGTGCAGTGCCTTTGTTTACCCTCCTTTACTGGTCTTTATGGTTGAACTAGATGATCTTGAAGGTCTCTTCCAACCTTGAAGATTATGATTTTGGGTAGTAGAATGATGATTCTGTGATTCTGGCCAGAGGTTCTGCCTAGCATGAGTGAAACAATATAAACTGAAGTAACGTTTGTTGCAGATACTCTGCAGAATCTTGTTGGACAACAAAACGCCCGTCATGGTGTAGTGAAAGTGTTCAATGCATTGCAAGAGAGGAAGGCTAATAAGCATCTGCTTTATGTGAGTAACCAGAAAAGTAGCTTTTTAACTTCATAATCCTGTTACTTACCGAGCTCTACTTACTCAGTATTAAAGCCTAGGGGATGTGTTTTTGTAGAGATTTATTTATTGTTTTAATAAGTCAGACGCTCTAGGTTTGATCACTTGACTAAGTTTGTATAACAAAAAACTGTTTAACAGCAGCATCGTTTTTGTCTAAAAGAGATCCTCTACCACATCCAGTGTGCCCGACTTCATAAGGTGTGAATTAATTTCTTCATACAGCTTAGAAAATCCCTTAGAGAAGGAGAGCTCCAGGACTGGCTTAGTTAGGACATGACAGCCCTCTGAAAGTTCCACTCAGCTGTTGGGACTAGTTGGAATATGCAGCTGGATCTAAGTGCTTCTGGCACATTCCAGACAGCAGCCTGTCACACAATGCTGCCCCAGCACCAGGGAAAAGGTGCATGCCCTGGTGCTTGCTTTTGATGCTATGGAGTCTTTAACAGAACAGCACCTGCTTATACTAGGTGGGAAATCCCCATCTGAACAGAGCTGCCCTTAACACTTGCCTCCTTAAGACATTTCCCATGTTGTCTGTAGGGCATGTGCTAACTTCTAGATGAAAGAAAAGTAGTTGCACAAATGATGAATGTAGTCAAACCTATGTGCTTTGGTTATTTGTGATTATCTAAAAATGACAGAAAGGAAAAAGAAATTCTTATTTGGTTGGCACCTGCATCATCTTAACTCTTTTCTGTTTTTCAGGTTTTGCTGGAACTGCTGCTAACTGAACTGTGTCCTGAGCTGAGAGCTCATTTAGAGCAGCTTAATGCCACTTAGGTTTGAATCTGCACAATTGGACCACTAGAGAAATGTCTATGTTCAAGAATAGACATGAAACTTATTTTCCTCTTTTCCATAGAGGGCTGAGGACTATGATTATTTTTAGCATTTTTCTTTCCTCTTGAGTTTTTTGTGAAGTAAACAGACTTGAAAAGATCTGATGCTGTCGTAGAGTAGACAAAAAAAAATGCTGTATAGCTGCCAATTTTTATTTAAATTGTTCTATTTGACTACTCCTCTGTTTCAAATATAGACTGAAAAATAAATGTTCATATATGCTGAAAGAAACCAGAAGATATTTTAAACATTTATGGAAAGAAATTTTGCTTATAGTGGTAAACTAATGAATGTTGTACAGTTCTAATCTCCTCACTGAGGATCTGAGCATTCCTTTTCTTTTCTTGTGTATTGAAGAAGCCTTGTCGTGCAATACTACATGTAAAGCTATTGTGAAAATTTTATCAATTTTGGTTTTACCAAAGATTTCCTGTAGTTTGAAGCATTTGTAAGCAATAAATATCACAACTGGATCACAGCACTTGATAATGAGGCTGTACTGACAACAGATCAATGAGTTTGACCGCACTAGTTTCATAAGAAATATATACATTGCTTTGAAGTCTTTGTCAAAATTATGTATTGTAAACTGGTATGTCCTAACAGAATGCCTGTGTTAAATGTTAGTTCAGAGATTAGTGCTTATGAACTGCTTCTATGAATGATCAATTAGACATTTAATTAAACCATTCTGGTAACTTCCCTGATATTATTCAGGGCTGTTTTATTCAAATGCCCCAATTTCAAATAACCTTCAAATCTTTCCCTTATTTTATACAAGGAAAGAAAACCGTCTTCAGTGGTTGTTTTTTTTTTAAAGTTATGTAAAAATATGTAAATATGATGTTAATGCACATCTAAATAATTAAACATCATCAAAAATTCCTAGCTGACATTCATTACTTCTCAATTTGGTACAGTTGTGCTCTTAGAAAAACTACTTGCAGTTATGACTGACTGTATTGCAAGGTACATACAGTCTGTATGATCTATTTGAATCAACATTTTTAGTAACATCTAGCCTTCTCTTCCAACAGTTTCAGAAAAGTTTTCAAGTCATGGTACAGTCCTAAGAAGCAAGGGAAATTCTGCATTTATAAAGTTTCACAAGTAAACAGGCATTTAGAAATGTGCAAGCTTACCATAGCAATCAGTAAGTTTTCCGAGTGGTTAATCAAAGTATCTTTTGATGAAAGATCCAGCTTGACTATGTTCAAACATACAAACTCCTAACCAAAAGATTTCCAACTATTTCTAATACAGAGACAGTGTGAATGCAATATGAAGGACTGAGGAAAACAGGCCTTGTCCTGTGACATATACTGAATATTTCCATACTAATGTTTGGGGCTCCTTTTTCCACAGTTCTGTAAGTAGTATTTATTAGTTTTAGAAGCTGGTATGGTTTGAATTGTAAAGCTTGGTGTTCTGCTGGACAGTTTCCAACTCTAAGTCTCTGCAATCCAAAAGTAAAATGTATCAAGAATCTTATGTAAATCTAGATGCTTTAGAAAGTATGGGCAAGAAAGTATAAGCACCACTAACAATTTAAGCTTTAAAAATGGTTGTGGCCTGTGAGTGGGCTGTATGTGAAAATGAGACAAGTTTGGGTTCAAGCTTTTCAATAAATAATAAATTTAATAAATATTAAATAAATATTAAATTTAAATAATATATATGCAAAAAGGAAACAACAATCTTTATTTGGTTTTGTTTTGATTCATGTGCTATGTAGCAATATGACATGAAAAAAATACAGCTGTCCCAGTGAAATGTCCTTAATAAACCTTTCAATCTTCAATACGATTTTTAAAAAATCTGTCTTGGCTTTATCTGAGTTAAAGAGAGTGTGAGCTTTTTACTTTCTCTTTATTTTAGACAAACTGAGTCAGTGAATTGCTTTAAATGATGATTTACAGAAAGTTGAAAAGCAAGCTGTAAGTCATGAACAGTCTATAATTGCTGGAGATTAATGATGGTTTATTGTAGGAAATATATTTATATACCAGTCACAGTTAAAAGAAACACTAAATTCTCCCAAGATTAGCTGCCGATTCAAGGTGAGAAGCAACAGCAGGATCCAGATGGCATGCCTTTAAAAACAAAGAGTATCAGAGTTCTGGTTTATAGCTACAATAAAATTTTATGGTATCAATATGAGATTAATAAGTCTTTAAGTGTAAAAAAATCTGAGGTGATCACCTTGCTGAAGTATTGAAAAGTTAACATATTTGCATTTGAATTCTTTTTCTGATGCCACATAATAAAAAAAAAAAGTATTTAAAAGTAGTACACTGGACTATAGTGTTAGTCTTGAGTTTATTTTTTTTAATTCTATGTGTTGGCATGGCTTATGCACCACAGCCGGAAAAATAAATCTGCTTACAGACTGGATGAGTTTCACTCACAGCCATAATCTATTTCAGAACCCTTAGGGATGCCCATATTGTCTTTCTCATCTCTTACAATACTGACTTGTTCTCAGAATGGTAGGCCAAAACCAGAGCTGAGCAGTCAATTAAAACAAGTAAAAGTAATTGTACAGTTAACATGAGAATTTTCCAGGTACAAAACACCCCTGGATACCCCCACAACTCTTTTAAAGTTACTTTTTGAGGGAGCTTCCTTGTTTATTTTGTTGCTTCTCTTTTGCTATTGATTTAGAGACACGTGACCCCAGTCATAGGAACTATCTCTTTATAGTGAGACATTAGTGACATTCCTAGACCAGTCTCAGGTGTACAGCAAGTGAATAATGAGTGAAAGTCGTAGTCTTCTTTCAGTTGTGGCAGTTTTACTACACTTTAAAAGACAGTGGGAAGGGCTACACTCCTACAGAGTCATGCAGCAATTTAATCCTGATGGACCTCTTCAATGCCTTAACTAGGAATAGTGGTCATAATATCCTCCTTGTCATCCTATTCTCTATAACATTTTTCACAGCGGGAGAACAAAATATTTAAAATGTCTACTCAGATCACCTGCTCTGCTAAGCCATTTCTTTCAGTGACTTCCCAGAGTAAAGACCCATAAAAATTGTTTGATAACTTATCATTTACATAACTCTCCATTCATTTAGGTTGCACCAAGATGGATACCTAAGTATTGTACCTGCAGGATCAAATGGGCACTACATGCACAGAAACCATACAGTCTCTGAAGCACAGCTGCCAACTTGCTACATTCCCTTCAGCTGGTATAATTACCTTGCCTTGATGCCTTTTGGCATTACTGATATTATTCAACAGATTAATCTTCTAGAGGCCATTAGTAGTATTTTTCCTCAAGCTCATTTTTCACCAGTCTTACTTCAAATTTAGAACTTTGAAAAAAATGTGATTTTTTTCCCCCATGTATATTGAACAGAAAAAGCAGTAGATTCTCAGCTATCATGGAAAATGTAAGTATAAAAATAAGCATGAGAACCAGTTATGGCAAATTTAAGGATCATAGATAAAGGTTGTAATAGTTCCAGAATCTAAAGGATATGGAAAAGTTATGATTTTTCAGTTGTGAGAGAATAACAGAAAGCAAATTAGTTTGGTATAGAATTATTCAAATCGTTTATCTAATTTATCTTGCAAGTTACCAAGCTCTTTTCTGTGGTGATTACCATAGGTTTTGTTGTTGTTGTTGGTTATATTGCTTGCTTAAGCAAGTGGGCAGATAGCATCCTTACAAGGCTGTTTTAGTGGTTTTCAGTACACTTCTATCGCTCTACATTTTCTTGAAAAGATTTTTTTTTTAAACACAGTATTGGAGTCCTTAAGGAATTAGCAAGTTTAGACTAAACTCAGATCCAAGGCTTCACTCAATTTCACAAGATATAAACTAGTCTGTAAGACTTGCTCTACTTACTTTAGAGTAGTACCTCTCAGAAGCATCCTGGTCCTTCTGTGTGCCTCGGCCAAGCTGGAAGCATCTAGCTAAGTAGAAAGCAGCCATAGCAGCCCCCTTGGCTACATATGTTGGGTGACAATCACTTATCTTGGCTAGCATGTTGATCTCATCATTTTTTGTAGCCCTGTTGTGGAATTTAGAGCATTACATTAGATAATGCTAGATCAAGCAATAATTAAAGTTGACCATCTATTACTTTGACAATGCCTCTTTTCTATTTACAATATTACACAGAATAAGCTGAAATTTACATGTATTCAGCATCTTATGTGAATTCTTCTATTTTGTATTTGATTTTAAGCTAGTCTTATTTGAATATTGTGCTATTAAACAGCAAACAAGTATACAGCTTTTGAAGTCACTTTCACCATACTTTATACTAATTATAAAAGGCAACATATTTTACGTTAATTGTTCCCATTAAATTATTTTATGGAAATTATATGTGGAAGAAAGGCAAAGCTCTTATTTAATTTTATTTCACTACATGAGCAACCTCATGTAGTGGAAAATCTCCCTGCCCACAGGACTGGAACTAGATGATCTTTAAAGAACCAACCCAGACCATTCTGTGATTCTATGATTTGAAAATTTCCAGTTTTTACAAGGATATTGGCAAATCATAGTAATCTGAAAATCCTGAACTTACTGAGAGCCCCTGGTTATAAAACTCTGTCAGAAAAACAACTTATCACTGTCTCAGCTCAATTATTTAGTTTCTTCTGTATGCTTGCTGTCATCTTAGTCTCAGCATGTTTTTACTAAGAACCATTTTAAGAATCAGAGGGACAAAGTGAATGTCGTTTTAACTATCAAGCTATAATTATCTAGTATTATCACTAATGTTAGAAAATGCTATACCTAAATGGGAATTGATTTTTTTCTGTTGTTTTAAAACAGATACCCCCAAGCCCCATATCCTTTCCAGATACCAAAGAGTAATTATATGCTTCTTTACACATCATTTTAGCTGTGTCAGAGTCACAGACTTGACAGAAGAAGGAAAAGTGCAAGTAATTTCAGTTTATGGATACTTCCTATAAACCAGTGTTTATGAAAGATTGTTCTCGATGACCCTCTGCACATCAGTGCCCGCTAGATCACTTGGATGTGTTGAGAATGATCACCTAATTTAGTCCCATTAGAAATACAGTAACACAACTGTTATTATTTAGCAAGAACATTCAAATAAAACAACAGTAATATATTACCTCTTGTTACCTTTCCTGATATGTAACATTTTTCCCTTCCTTTCCAAAAGATAATCTACAGAATACTGATGCAAATAATGATATCCAGTCAAGTCAGGCAAAAATTCTATTTCAGCACAGCTGACTTGAAGAAAATACTGCAGCAATTGGTAAGTACAACTGTGTGGGATAACTAAATTATTTGAAGTGAAGTATCAGTAGGTAATGCTGACTCTAAGTATTAGGCAAGGTTATACTGCACACAGTCACATTATGTATATAATGTAACAAATGTAGTTGCTATGAACATTGGACAAATTTTAGCAGAAAAGGTATTGGTACTTGATACTATTGGCTGAACTGCTGAGGTTTTTGCCTCAAGGCTAACTTCAATTCTAATTAAGTGGAACTGTTTCAAGTATGGTTGCAGTGTTTTATTTCAGAAATGGTCACCTCTGACAGTACTGTGGGATTTCATAGCTATTTTCTGCAATCACAATTGCAGCTGATGAAGTGCACTCTATTTGTCTGGACAATCTACCATGCAGCATTTGACTGGAGGGGATTAATTCCAGCCGAGACAGCCTAGACCAGACAAACAGCTATCATGTACTGATAGTGCAGAAGAAAGAAAGGCAGCAGTCCAGAGAGAAACAATCCTTCCCAGCATGGAGTAGAGCAAACAGCATCCATAGCTGAACTACTGAATTACCAGAACTTCTGTTATGCACTGGCATACAGTACGCCAAGTGCAGCTTCTGTAAGATGTTAAGTTGTGACATATTTACTACTGCAGCAGCAGCTGTGTACGCATACCCCAAAAAGCAAAAATGTTTTTGTGTGCCACTTGTGCAAGCAGTCAATCTATCTGCATCTTATTTCCAGCAAATCAATAAATCTGATTGACAGACTGAACTTTTAACAATACAGTGGTAAACTCTGAAGGTTTGTGACAGCAATGTTGAACATAGTGGAACATCTTCACAGAAATGTATGTGAAATGTCATACATTTCTGTGAACATGTTCCACAGTGAACTGAAACAATACACAGAAATGTGCTGTTCATCAGCTATAGAACATTGCACCAACAGTGCTCTTGTCCTGCTTGATTAATTCAAGATACAGAAGTGGACCTGAGGTGGTTGCAATAAACCAATAATGGTGGAAATAAACCAGGCCAACCAGAACAGCAACAAATGTTCCTTAGCTGCTTCCCAGGATGAGGCCCAGAAGACACCACCTCAAGTGTATGTGGACAGTGCACACAGCCTGGGGACCAAACAGGAGGAACTGGAGCTCTGCACCCACTCAAACTCACACAACCCTAGGAGCATGGTGGAACAACTCACGTGGCAGGAGGACTGTGATGGACTGTTTTGTAAAGACAGAAAAAGAGGAGGAGTCATGCTTTGAGTTAAGAAGAACCTTGAATGTGGAGAAGTCAACTATGGCAATTCTGGAAGCCTTACTGAATGCCTCTAGGCCAGGATTAGAGGGGTCTTGAGGGGTCTTAAGCATCTGGTACTGACCTCTGAATCAAGACAGTAAAGACCAACGGGACAATGCTTGGGTTCCTTAAGTAAGCTTTGGGTAACAGAATCTGGATGTTATGGGTGACTTGAACTACCCAGGCAATAGATGCAAGAATAATACAGCATCTCCTAGGACACCCATAAAGTTCCTGAAACAGAGCAGTGGAGTAGTGCTGCTTCAAGCAAATGTCAGACTCAAAAAAAACAAAACCAAATCTGGAATGAGGCACTACTTGACTTGCTACTCGCGAATCAAGAAAATCTCCTTTGTAGGACCTCAGTGAGTGATAGTCTTGGGTGCAATGACCACAATATTGAGCATCTGGGATCCTGCTGAGCACTCTAAGGGTTATTACCAACACAAAGGTTTTAGATTTCAGAATAGTAAACCAGCTTACAGCACAGTTGGGGAGGGTCTCCATAGGAAGCTTCCATGGAGAATAAAGGAGCTAGTGAGTGCTGGGAACTTTTCAAGCATGCTCTCCTGGAAGCACAATGAAGTGTTTGTTCATCCCCTTTAAAGGTAAGGAAAGTAGGTGGAGCAAGAGACACCCATGGCTTAACTCCAAGCTTCTGAGCCTGCTCAAAACCAAGGGAGAAACATACCAGTGATGGAAAAGCAGGTAAAGGGAAGTGCTGGATTCATTTGCTTTGTACACTTTTAAGGTTCAGCTGGACAGAATGCTGGGCCATTGTGTCTAGACTGTGCTTTTGCCAAGCAAGGCTGGACCAGATGATCACGGATATCCCTTCCAACCTGGGGGTTCTTTGACACTGAGTGTAGGGGTTAAAGGGAATGGTGAAGGAAGGAGCCTAGAGGAGACAGTGGACAAGGAAGTCAGGATTGCATGTGGGCATCTGCTTTGGATTCTATTTTAAGGCTGTTTTGCTTTATAGGATCAGAAGGAAAATTTCTGTCATACTGAGTAATGGAGAACTTTATAGTATTTATTTTGTCATTGGCTATTCTGTTGTTAAAGATGTTTTGCAATTCATTATCTCAAACATTTCTTGAGTTTGAAAGATAAGACCATCATCTTTATTAATCATTTAAATCTCTTTTATGTGGTTTTGCATGAAGAACCCTAAAGAAAAAGAAAACAAAAATTACCTTTTGGCTAGTGCAGCAGCTTTTGAGTAAAATTTTCTAGTGTAGTAATATTCCACTAGATGGCCTTGAGCATAGATGTTTCCAAGTTCTGCTGCTTTTCTCAAACACTCCAAAGCAGCTTTAGTGTTTTGATGTGTACCTTGTCCATAGAGATACATAATGCCAAGTGCTCCTTGTGATTCCAGATTTCCATTGCCACATGCTTCTGAATGCCAGAAAAAAGCCTGAACAAGAGGCACAAAGATGGGAGTATAAATTACTTAGCTGATTTTCTTGTATATTGTTTCCAAAAAAGCTTTTACACTAACCATCCTGTAAAAAGTGCTTATACATAAAATAAAGAAGAATCTTTGTAAGGCTTTTAAACCGGCTTCATTTACTATCAGAGCTGCCAATCAGTGTTACCTGCTTGAAATATGAAGATTACCAAAGCTGACAAAACTTTAATCCAATCTATCATTGTTTCTGATACTCTCACTACAAAAAAAAAATCTTAGCTAGCAGTGTCAAGTGAGTCAAAATGAGGAATTCTGGCCATCTGTTCACACAGGCTTAAATGAATGATAATGACTACTCAAAATGCAACTTTCAGAGTCAAATATACCACTCTACTATTTCTCTGAAATTAAAAATTAATCATGACTAATTTTTATTTCAAAAGGTACAAGTGGGCTTTACCTTCTCCAGATCTCTTAGACTTGGCATAGAATAAAGCATTCCTAAAGTACTCTGGGCCTTTATGCTTGCTTTTGGATTTCCATCATCTGCAGCAGTAAGCCACAGCCTAAGAAAATGGGGACAATAATGTTTAAGAAACACACAATCTTAAAATTTTTCAGGAAAAGCACAGACTGCCCTTACCTTTCAGCCTCTTCAGTTGAGTGTTTAACACCACATCCTTCATAATATGCCCTGCCGAGATTGTACGCAGCTGCAAACTTCAAGTGTCTTGCTTCTGGGGAATCAGAGTTGAGTATTTTATTCATGTATTCCACTCCCTTTTCCTAAAATTGAGCCATTTAAGTTATTATGTTCAGACGGTGAAGAGGATGAAATATATAACCTGAGATGCACTAACTTCTCGGCAAGACAGGTAATTTTTTCCCCTTGGAAGAAATGCTGAGGCATACTGTCAGGACAGCTTGAAAAACACTGTCATACCAAAGCAGAAGTGATCTTTGGTTACTAGACAGCCCCTAAATTTTTGACCCCAGCAGATTTTTAGCGTGAAACATTTCCTTGTAAATGTTCATCTGAGTAATATATTACTCTTCTTCACTGACAAGATTTTTCCCAAAAATATTGTGCTTGCATAAATGAATGTCACATCCTACACTTGGAAAATTTTCAATTTCAGAATTCTGAGAACTTTTTAATATTGCATAATGTATTTGAAATAATGAAACGACCTTAAGAAGAAAGCAAAGTGATACATAGTACACTTCCAAGTACCTGCATTTAAAATACCTTAGACTCATAAAGGACAAAAACTGATAATGTTAAATAAGGAGATGGAGAAGATTGCATATGAGCTGCTGGGCCTCAGAAGTACTTTGGAAATAAGATTTACAGTGTTAGGATTTAGCATGGACACCCTGTTTAAACACACTAGAAATGGTCCTTTATAAAAGGTTTTGATTTTATTCAGCTTTCATACTGTAATACACAAGAAAGAAAGAAAGAAACTTTTAAAATGTTAAATGTTTCTTTGGTAAATGAACGAATGTGGTAATTATGCAGGCATACAGAAAAAAATAAACCACCTCTAAACTTCAATCAGAATGTTTTCAGTTCTGCTGACAATGCTGTAAGCACCAGACAGGAGTCACACTTGTTAATATACTCTTTGGTTCATTTTTCTGGCCTTCTGTCTTATAATCTACCCTTTTATTCCTAATGCTTGTATTCTCTTCTCATGCCACTTTTTAAGATCATCTTCACCAACAAATTAACTCTCCTTATTGTAGCAAATCATTCCTTTGTCTTCCTTTTTTGTAATATAATTCTTCAGTTTGAATTCTTCAAATTCTTGCAAATTTAATTTTTCTTGTGTCTAATTTCAAAATATTACCGCCAATCTTGGCAGAAGCACAATCATATCTGGCATCTATGCTAAAAGAATAGAAAGTACCTTGAAAATATCTTTCTGCCAGAGATTTTATGCTTTGAAATGCAATTGTTTGATTTCCATTTGGACTCACTTTGTTTTCATCTACATAAATTGTATATTAAAAAGTAAAAAATTTAAAGTAATTTTTTTAACATAGCTTCCACATGAAGTCCAACCAAGCCCTTGAAAGTTAATTTTAAAATAGAAACTACTGTATTCTTCTATTCCTATTGTTATTATAGCCATTTTTGAGAACTTCCTCACCCAGAGCCCTTGAAGAAAAATAAAAAGTGTGCAGCTAAATTACTCACAGGGTCTTTTTTAGTGCCAAGTCCATCGTAATACATTACACCAAGCTGATACATTGCTTGAAAATCTGTATCCTTGATTTTTTCAAATTGTTTTAATGCTTTTTCATACAATCCCTGGGAAAGAGAAAGCAAACAATAACTCTATGATATATACAGCTTTACAATTTTTAAACCTGAAGTATTTCTCTCATGAACAAAGAACAAAAAATTGCAACCATAGAACTGGCAGAAAACAGAGACAGTAAGTTAACAACCACAAGAAAGTCATGCAACCAAAAGCCATTCTGACAAACTCTCCCCTCCCACAAACTGCCATTTTTTTAGTCTGAGGAGATAAAGTCTAACTTGGAGTCCCTGACCCATCTGACATCCTTTAACACAGGCCAGCTGTTCTTACACCTCAAGGGTTTAACAGTCTGCTTTTACATCTCTGGTAAGGGTTGGTTTCATGAAGACTAATAAATCAGATGTCTGCCACACATTTCTTATGGAGGTATCACCTGCAACAACAGAGGTACTTTCACTCCTAAGAATGAATCTCAGAGAGTACTTGCTTCCACATTAAGTCTAAGAAGCAACCATATTTAAAACTACAGTTAAACAACTGTAATACAACAGTTAACTGAGCCTGGTGTCCTAACTGAAATATTTTTACACATAAACGCTAAGTAAAAACAATACTGAAATTAAAATGTTCTTCTCTATATTTTAATTCAAATTTTCTGTGTGTTTTGATTAGAAAAAAAGACTCCAAAAGCTTAGAACCAAGCAACAGCTCAGCAGTCAAAAGTCCTCACAATGACCAATTGTCCCCTATAAATACTGTCCGAGTTATTATCTTAAACTACTAATTGTCTTGGGAGCTTGCCCATTTTGTGGGGGCTTTGTAGTTTTAAAGAACTGAAGAAAAAGATCATTTTCTTTTTACAGCTAGCTGTCATGAATATCAGAAAAAGAAGTACACATTTAATCTCACCCTTCCTGAGAATTTAGTGCCATATGAAGGAGACATAGGGCTGTGATTAGGAAGTGTGTTTTTTTTCTAATATCCAGAAGTACAGTGCTATGAGCATATGCATTTTTAGGCACTACAGACATACATTAAAAAATCTGAAAATTAAAACCTGTTCAAATAATAAATTTGTACATTTATTTGTATTTATTTGTTGTACAGCGGGATGTACAATAATATCTATCATGGACATCTAAACCAGCTTGTCAAGTGAAACAGACAGGAGTCTGTTCATTCAGCTCCATAGAGTTAGTCTCAGGTAATTCATTAATGAAAACATTAAGGATAGGGCCCAGAAAGAAAAAAGCCTGAGTGAGCTTCTTCTGTTCCTGCTGCAAACCGTGAGACTGATTTACACTGCACCACTGCTGCACAGTAAAGAGTACTGAATCCCTGCATGTCACACTGGAAAATTCCTGACTCGGTGTTTGTACTACATTCTTCTCTATCTTCCTGAACTAAGTTCTAATTTTCACAGGAAGCTGAGGTTTAAGTTCACCTGCCAGGGCACTCTGTTCCCTGATCATTTACTTTCCAAGACCTGGATGACCAATTTTAGCCAAAGTGGGCAGGGACGGAGATCATGAAAATAATAAATTTCAACAAATTCCAGTTCCTGTGTGGGGAACAAAGATTGAAAGCTGTGTCTTGGTTGGGGCTCACACTTACTTTAACTGAAAAAAAAAGTGTGTTGTATTTGGGCAGTCAACTGCCCAAAAACCCGACCTGGCTTGGAAGCTAGCCGTGAGGATAGGCTGCTGCTTGCTTTTCTGGTCCTTAGGAGACCTGTGAGAGAACTGGAAGACCTCTCTAGATGCTTGGGGAAAGTGTAGGAAAAGCATATTTAGGGGGAACACCTGGTGATTTTAATGGGATATAAACAGGCATAGGGCACCCCTTGTAGGTTTTTTTAAGGTGTCTCTTGTTTCGGTGAAAAGGTGTTGAAAATTGTCTGCTTTATAATATTTACTAAAAAGAGGGAAAGCACAACCTGTTCGTAGTAATGCTGTCCATCCAGAAAAGGTGCTGGAGGATCTCCACCTGCCTCTCTCACCAGCGACTCCTCTTCTGCCACCAATGTACCACAGGAGCGGTTCTCTGCTTAAAACAGACACACGTTTGAGGTTGTCCCCTAAGAGGTGGAATACAGTAAAGGTCTGAAGCTGGCCGGGTCCCCTTTTAATATGTTCTTCAAAAGACTAAGATAAAAGAGAAGGCTGTGTTACAAAACGGAAAAGTTGAGTGAAGACCGCCCGAAGGAAAGGTTCAGTGAGGGCGGCCTGGCCCTCGCGTGGGCGCAGTCCGCCGCGGAAGAGCTGGAAGCCGCACCTGGCCCAAGCGGGGAGCTGCCGGCCGGAGCGGGCTGGCTGGGAGCGCTACCTGGCACGGCAGGCTCCTGCGGCAGCCGCTCG